TGTGTGTGTGTGTGTTTCCGTTCCACTTCACATGAACAGACGACAGAAACACAGAGGATCAGTGGTAGAAGAACATCAGGGCGGCTGTGTTTTACGAGATAGAACCGGTCGTCCTCCAATCAGAAGGTTGTTGGTTCGATTCCCGGCTCCTCCTGCTGCTTGTTGAAGTGTCCTTAAACAAAATACTGAACCCCAAACTGCTCCTGATGCTGTGTAAATGTTAATGTCCTTTATACCTTAACAAAAATAAATACTTCCTTATTTAAACATTTTCCAGTCCAGGACTGGATGAAGGTTATTCCAGTTCCACAGAAACAGATTGAACAGCAGGAACTGGATCCGTCCTTCAGTCTGTTCAATTACACTTTTGGTTTGTTTGGTGGAAACAAGGTCAGTGACATCATTATCATCATCATGTGATGCTGCTGGATGGCAACGAGCTGTTTGCACACGCTCAGTGACAGTCGGAATCACTGACCAGAGATCAGCTGCAGATAACGGAGCTCAGGTAAATACCAGAGAACAAAGAGCTGAACCAGATCTTATCGACTCATCAGGTCTGAAACCGCAGCCGCCTCGTCGTCCTGAAGCAGACCGAGGAATGTTTTATGAATATCATCAGTTTGTGTCTCTGAGACCTCTGAGAACATTTACTGACATTAATAATATATTTCTTATTAAACTATTAAACTCTCATTGTTTTTGGCCGGTTAGAGACGGAGTGTCGTTCTGTGTGTCTTCATCACATTAACAGATATTTCCAGCTTTTCTTTCATCTCTGTTCAGCTCATGTCCCGCTGCATTGTGGGTAATCAGACAGCAGGACCTTCCCACCGTAAATATGCAGCTCGTGAAGGTTTTTTCATTAACTGACTTTATTAAATCAGCCGCAGTGGACAGCCGAGCCCACTGTGTGTGTGAATGAGTTTAACAGATGTTACATGGATGGAAAGCAGCCTTCCTCTCTCACTGTAACGCTCTCCTGATCAGTCCTTTAATATTGATTATCTGATCATCTGGTACTATATTTACCTCAATGTTAATGAAATACATATCTGACTAAAGGTCATAGGTAAACCTAATTATTTGTGTTATAGCAGAGCTCATTTCATTGTTCATATCTTTAATGAAACATTAAAAAGCTAAAAACTGAATATTACCATTGAGAGGGAAACATAATTAGGTTTTCTATTAACATAATAATGAAATGTTATTAACGTATCTGGCAAGTTGTAAAAATGTTGATTCTGAAAGTAAAATGTTCTCTGACAACATATTTAATTTGTTTTCCACTAAAACAGACAATCTCAGTACGATCCACTGGCATTAACTGCAGCATTATAATATTATAAACCCAAATCAGGATCTGAACCAAAGGGCTCTACCTCTTCAAGAGCTGAGATTTGTTCACGTGGTGGACTTTCTCCTGGTCTCTCCTGGTCTCTCCTGTGTCCATTAAAGATCCATAAATATCAACAGAAACATCTTTGTTCTAAAGTCTTTATTAATATTTTATTGTCTCTATTGTTTATTTCTGTCCTCATCACAGATTCATGTCTCCTGTCTTCTCTCAGTGGTTCTGTTGTTCCCTTTTGGACCTGTCTTCTCTCAGCGGTTCTGTTGTCTCCTGTTCGGACCCGTCTTCTCTCAGCGGTTCTGTTGTCCCCTGTTCGGACCCGTCTTCTCTCAGCGGTTCTGTTGTCTCCTGTTCGGACCCGTCTTCTCTCAGCGGTTCTGTTGTCCCCTGTTCGGACCCGTCTTCTCTCAGCGGTTCTGTTGTCTCCTGTTCGGACCCGTCTTCTCTCAGCGGTTCTGTTGTCTCCCTGTTCGGACCCGTCTTCTCTCAGCGGTTCTGTTGTCCCCTGTTCGGACCCGTCTTCTCTCAGCGGTTCTGTTGTCCCCTGTTCGGACCCGTCTTCTCTCAGCGGTTCTGTTGTCTCCTGTTCGGACCCATCTTCTCTCAGCGGTTCTGTTGTCCCCTGTTCGGACCCGTCTTCTCTCAGCTCTCACAGAAGAAAGCTGCAGCCTTTGTTCGCCTTCGTTCTGTCTCTGCTGTGAATCTTTAATGATGGAAAATAAACAAACTCTCTGTCCTCAGATCGAAGCTGCTGCAGCTTTGACAACAGATTTATTCTGTTTATGACATTTAAAGCAGCAGTTCCTCTTTAACGTTCACATCATACAGCCTGTTATTACAATAAACCACAGAAGCACTGAGCTCAGTGGAAACAGCACTTATTAAGTTATTAGAGCGAGACTTTATTAAAGGGTACAACTCACTGACTGTGTGTGTGTGTGTGTGTGTGTGTCTGTGTGTCGTCATGGATACACGTCTTCATCTTTAAATGTCTTTAAATGTGTCCTGTCTCAGGTTCAGTGAGTACAGATTATTATTGACACAAACACATTCATCAAATACAGAATATGAAAACTAAACAACATAAAGGTCTGTGTGTCTGTCTGAGTCCAGGACCAGGGTTCTTCCTTTCACAATAAAACAACCTCAGTGTTCCCAGCAGTAGGGAGCACACTGCTCTCAGCCCCTCCCCCTCATTAACATACAAATGAGGTGTCGACCTCATTAACGGAGACAGTTTAATCTGAAATGACCCAAAAACCAAACAAAGACATGAGTCAGCACTGTTCATTACACAGAGAACAATAAAGATTAGTCAAAGCCACGAACACATGGTTTTATTTGTGTCCTTTATTTCAGACAGAGACACAAAAACTGCTCTTACTCTGATTTGTAATATTGATTAAAATTTGATCAAATAAACAAAGAGAATAATACGGAAGCTGAGAAGGGACATGGATTTTTTTTTTTAATGCACTGTTATGTCGTGATAACGACTTATTATTTTGTTATCTCGAGATAACAAAGATCGTTTTCTCGTGATAACTAATTAATTAATAATGTGGTCATCTTGATTTCAACCTACAAGAGCTACCACGAACGGCTTCCGTAGCCACTGGCTGTAGCTGTAGCCTACCAGTAAGTTACACTTTACGTTAGTTTGTTTACTTGACTGGCAGCCGTTTGTGGCAGCTCCTGTAGGTTGAAATCAAGACAAACACATTATTAATTATTTATCACGAGAAAACAAACTTTGTTATATTGAGATAATGAGATAATAAGTTGTTATCACAACATAACAGTGCATAGCATTCCATATTCACTGTGCAATCTATTGCCCATGTGCAACTGCTGCTGCTATTTGTGTTATCTGTTGTTTGTGGATTCTTACTGTTTTTTCTCTTGTACATAGTGTTTTTATCTTTTATTTATTATTTTCCTACTCTTACTGTTTTTTTTATACAGTTTTTTCTCTATCCACTTTGCTGCTGTAACATTGGAATTTCCCCATTGTGGGACAAATAAAGGAAATATCTTATCTAATCTAATCTAATAAAAACTAAAAAAAAATCCATGGCCGTTTTCGGCTTCCGTAGAATAATGAGATGATGCTGATTGAAATATTTCTCGACTCACTGAAGCTTTAATAAAACATTCATAAATATTTCCTGAGTGTATTTTATACAAACACACATGAAAGGGTCTTGTATTGTTGCTCTGAATTGGGAGGGCGTTAGGACCTGACGGAAGCCCGACAGAGGAAGAGGGTTTGAGGGGCGGAGCATCAAGTTCACGCAAATTAACACAATCTGACAGGAAGTCGTGTGAATGTTCCCTCCTAAATAATAAAACTGTAAATATGTAAAAATATAATATGAATTTCTCAGCTTTATGTTTGTTTTATTCACATTTTTATTTTATTTAGAAAACACAGACACATTTTCAAAGTCTGACCAAAGACATAAAATAAAAACACATAATTAAATTAAATGAATAATTATTGATTTATTCTTATTATCTCTTATTGAACTGATGATATTTATTAGATCAATAAAAGACATCTTTCTTTAGTCTGAAAATGACTCTAAAATTATATAAACAGTTTATATGTAAATCATTTGCAGCTTATTTGGAGTGAGATTCAAAGTTACATTTTTTTAAAATAATGTAAACTTTCTAAATTAAATTAAACTTAATTAAAACACTTTATGTTTGTCGAATGTGAAACATGAAGTGGTGAAAGAAGTATTAATAGTAGTAATACCGCAGTGTACAAATACTCTGTTTTTACTCTTTAATATTAAGTACCAAAGTACTGTACACGATATAGTACTGATGATGCAGTATATTATATAACATTAACATGTTCATCAGTTTAATGTTGCAGCTGGAACACCTGGAGCTCATTTGAATGACTTTATGAGAGCTACTGATGAAGTTACTCAATCTATAATATTGATCATTTATCTTGTTATTGATTTAAAGTAACTAAAGCTGCAAGATTAATGCAGTAAAAGTTCAGTGTATTTGATGAAGTAGAATCAGAATCAAAAATACTTTATTGATCCAGGGAAATTTGTTTATTGCAGTTGTTCTACTCACACAATGTTAAACAATAGAAATAATACTTATATTACAATATCTAACACAATATACAGAATAGAAATGTATGTATGGGTGTATACATATAAGAAAATAGAAAAAATAAAAATGGAAATAGAAATAGAATAAGAGCCTATATACAAAGGGTTAGTGGCTGACAGAGATTAAATAGTAATGAGTTTAAGATTGTGGTGTTGCAGAAGTTATAGACAGTTATAAAGAATGATTGAATAATTACAGGAATAACAGAATAATAATAGTGTAAAACTCAAGTAAAGTACAAGTACCTCAAATTGTACTTAAATCTAATAATGACTTCTTTTTCAGCGGTGGACATGATGATAAATTCACATTTTATCTTATTTTTAATGTTTAAGTTTAAATGTTTTCTTTTATTTCATCAGCGTATTTTATTTTGGAGGCGCCTACAGGAACTATCTGTGTTCGTTGTTGCTGACGTCACACAGCTCGGTGTGCCTGTCAGCGTGGAGGGGGCGGGGCTTACCGGCCTCGGTGCCGCCGTGGGTCAGTGCGGACGGAGCTACGGAAGGAGCGGCAGCAGGACGGACTTCAGACCGACTGTCCGCTTCGTTGTGTCGGATCCACTCAGCGCTGCGGCCCCGGGGCATGCTGGGAGTCACCTGGACGTTCACCTGACCGGACCTGGGACTCATTTATCGGATTAATTTGACCTGTGTGTCCGCAGCAGGACCGTTAGACCACCGGTTGATCCCGGAGCTGCAGACACCAGTCTGAGGACCTGAGTCTGGATCCACTTCGTTTAACCCGGTTTATTATAACCCGGTTTATTAACCCGGGTTGAGTTAACGGGTCGGTGTGAGCGAGTGATTGAACCAGGTGAGTCTCCAGGTGGTTCTGATCCGGTCCTTACAATGCAGACCCGGACCCTGGTGCTGCAGAGACGCTAAGCTCACACCGGACGCTCTGACGGAGGACATGCCGCTCTCCGCCGCCGCCCGGGAGCGGCTGGAGGCCACCGTGTCCGGACTCGGGGAGCTGGAGTACCTGCGGCAGCGGCAGGAGGTGCTGGTCCGAGCGGCGCTGGAGCTCCGGCAGGAGGAGGAGGAGGAGGAGGAGGAGGAGCTGCGGAGGGAGAAGCTCCTGGAGGAGAACATCCTCCTGCTCCGGAAACAGCTGGTAGGTCCTGACTGTCTGTGACCTCTGACCTCTATGATCTCAGTCTGCACTCAGGTGTGCTCTGTGAGGTCAGAGGTCAGAGGTGAAGGCGGGTCCGCCCGTCTTCACAATGTAAATATAGGTTATCAATAACTGACAGATCCATTATTGTTATTAATCGATTATTTTCTTCATTGGTTGATTGATTAGCTAATAAAACATGTTTATCAGAGTTACTGATATTATTAATTAACTTAAACTGATCAATAAATCACCAATATATGTATTGATTCAGCTCTGCTTTGGTTGGACTGATGAGGTTTCTGTTTCTGATTAGTTCTGATCGGTTATCAATATTACAGAATATTGATCGGTTGTCAGTAATTATTAATCAGTGAACAAATATTCTCACATTAATCTGAAAAGATAAATATAATTTCTTGAGGTCACTTCCTGTTTTTGTTAGGTCAAGGTCCACTTCCTGGATTCTCTCTGAGCTTTTGATCTTCGTCCTCTGCTGACGAACACATTTCATAAACTGAAACTAAAGTTCACAGATTCTGTGATTAAATAAAATCTTCATTTGTTGTGTCAGTAAACAAACAAACAAACAAACAAACAAACAAATAAATAAATAAGTCGGAGTCAGAAGTCGTTATAAATTATTAAAAATAAAAAGCCAGAGAATGGATCCCTGAGGAACTCCTCTGATGAGTTTGTCATCTAATGTACATAAAACTCATCACCTACAATAATCAATAATCAATATAAATGACAGTTTAACAACCTTGTTGTTCTTCAGAGAAAAGTTAGGATTTTATTATTATTATGTTTAATTATCAGTCGTTCGGATTAGAATTTATGGATTCAGTCACTTTTTCTCGTTAATGTCGCTTCATTAATTGGGTTGAGGTCCTGGTCTTTGAGGTCTTGGTGTTTGAGGTCCAGGTGTTTGACGTCCTGGTCTTTGAGGTCCTGGTGTTTGAGGTCCTGGTGTTTGAGGTCCTGGTGTTTGAGGTCCAGGTGTTTGAGGTCCAGGTGTTTGACGTCCTGGTCTTTGAGGTCCTGGTGTTTGAGGTCCTGGTGTTTGAGGTCCTGGTGTTTGAGGTCCAGGTGTTTGAGGTCCAGGTGTTTGACGTCCTGGTGTTTGACGTCCTGGTCTTTGAGGTCCTGGTCTTTGAGGTCCTGGTGTTTGAGGTCCTGGTGTTTGAGGTCCAGGTGTTTGAGGTCTTGGTGTTTAAGGTCCTGGTGTTTGAGGTCCTGGTGTTTGAGGTCCTGGTCTTTGAGGTCCTGGTGTTTGAGGTCCTGGTCTTTGAGGTCCTGGTGTTTGAGGTCCAGGTGTTTGAGGTCCTGGTGTTTGAGGTCCAGGTGTTTGAGGTCCAGGTGTTTGAGGTCCTGGTCTTTGAGGTCCAGGTGTTTGAGGTCCTGGTCTTTGAGGTCTTGGTGTTTAAGGTCCTGGTCTTTGAGGTCCAGGTGTTTGAGGTCTTGGTGTTTAAGGTCCTGGTGTTTGAGGTCCTGGTGTTTGAGGTCTTGGTGTTTAAGGTCCTGGTGTTTGAGGTCCAGGTGTTTGAGGTCCAGGTGTTTGAGGTCCAGGTGTTTGAGGTCCTGGTCTTTGAGGTCCAGGTGTTTGAGGTCCTGGTCTTTGAGATCCTGGTGTTTAAGGTCCTGGTCTTTGAGGTCCAGGTGTTTGAGGTCCAGGTCTTTGAGGTCCTGGTCTTGGAGGTCCTGGTGTTTGGGAACATGTTTGAGGTCAGCTGACCGTCAGCTGGCGTCCCGGTGCTGCGTTCAAGTGCAACTTTTAACACCTCAGGCGACACGTTTGTGTGAAATCAGACAGAGCAGCTTCAGTCTGAAGGCTGTAAACTGTCCATCAGCAGCAGACTGAAGTTCTCTTCGTGTTCCTGTGAAACATTAAAGGAACCTGATGTTTCTGCTTTCTTTTGAAGCTGCAGAAAGTCGTCGTTTTATTTTCACAGATTTCCTGTTTCGTGTTGTTTTTGCAGAATCTGGTCCCTGTTTGAGTTCTTCTGTCAGGACAGGGTCTAGATTCTGTGCTCTGTGTTGTGTTTTTGGACGCGGTCCGTACTGCAGCTGCAGATCTTAACTTGAATCTGGATCAGATTAGTGCCCCCCCCCCCCTTAAGCAGGAACAAATGGAGATTCCTGCGAGCGGCTGGAAACTCTGCAGATCCACTTTCAGCTCTGTGACGAAGCAGCTGAGACACAAACAGACTGAACAGGAAACTCTGGAGACTGTGGAACTTTGGTCCTGGTCCTGGTCTGTGCTGGACTTGTTGATCAGTCACAGTTAGAACTCTGATCTGTCTCTCTGCCCCAGCTGAATGATGTGATGCTGTTCGTTTGTACGTTATTGTGAAATGCTGAATATGGGCTTTTATTTTGAAGACTCTGGTGGAGAGTCCATTTTACTGGATCTTTGTGGGTGTGATGGTTCCAGGAACAGTAATGTGTATGTTTATAAAACCAACATGAACACTTACAGCGTGTCTGTGGTTTCAGAATAAACGTTATTGTCTTTGGAAGCAGTGGTGATGTATTATGGATTGGTAGTTTTAGCTTCCTCAGCTAACGATGCCCATGATACTAACGTATGTATTCTGGCATTCAGTGTTGATTTTGATGTAATGTACAAAGCTAACAGTGTGTAGCTAACTATGTTGCTACATTAGCTAGCTATTCATTTGTCTCCATTAGCAAGCAAGCTAACATTATCAAGCTAAAAGCACAATATTACAACATATTCCACAAGCTTTGTGGTGATGTTAGCTTTAAGTTTGGACTCTTTTGATGTGGGTTGTTTGTAGAGCAGTGACGTTACCGTGGCGCTGACTCCAGACTGCTCTATGAACGCTGTTTAAAGCTGCTGTACACAACCTGCTAACAGCCAGCTGGTGGACACTGTTAGCATTTAGCAGCTAAAGACAAAATATGGGACTGTGTCTATGCGTGTCTAAACAAACTGTTTATGGATCTTTGACCTCTGAATGGACCAACAGCGAGGTCAGAGGTCAGAGGTCAGGCTGCTACATGGACACAGGGTTGAGACAGGAAGTATGTGAATGACATCACTTCCTGCTGGGTGCTGGTTGATTGACAGGACAAACAGCTGGAGGAGTGTCGGTTTGTGTTTGAACATGCAGCTCATTCCAAAGACAGCTGCTGCAGACAGTCAGACAGTCAGACAGACAGACAGACAGAGAAAAAGAGAGTTAATAGAGTTAAAGTGAAGTACAGAGGTGGTTGGACAGACTGTGGGTGTGGTCGGGGTTTACTGGGAGCTGTGGGTCAGGGTTTACTGGGAGCTGTGGGTTAGGGTTTACTGGGAGCTGTGGGTTAGGGTTTACTGGGAGCTGTGGGTTAGGGTTTACTGGGAGCTGTGGGTTAGGGTTTACTGGGAGCTGTGGGTCTGGGTCTGTGGTCTCAGCTGTGAGTTTGTGGTTCTGTAACTGATGAGTGATCAGCGGTTATCAGATCAGAGATCAGCAGTTTGTTTCTCTGCAGCTCAGTCGCAGGAATGCAGCACATGACCTGAGAGCAGCGCCGCATAACCCGCATGTTTTCCATCTCAACACAGCGTGTGTGAGTGTATAAGTGTGTGTGTGTGTGTGTGTGTGTGTGTGTGTGTGTGTGTGTGTGTGTGTGTGTGTGTGAGTGTGAGAGAGAGAGTATTTAAAGGCACACTGACTGGTCCTCCTCTAACAATGACAGTAGTGTGTGTCTGTCTGGGTTTTATTATCTTGTGTTCAGGACGGTTCTAGGCGTGAACCAGCTGGGACTCTGTGGTCCTCCATCGGTCTGTGGAGCTCTTAACCTCCAGTTGGACTTTATGGTCGTCTCCATGTTGGTGTTTAGCAGCCTGCGGAGGTCACATCCAGCGAGTTAAGCTGCTCTCATTGGCTGCTCTTGGTTTGGAAACAATGGCGGCTCTCCTGCTCACACAGGATCTGGTATTCCAGATAAACAGTAAAATGTGTTTGTGAACAGATCTGAGGAGAGAAATAGTCAACAACAGAATCTGGATCCATATCTGATCAGCACTGTTTGACAGTTTGATCTGAGTTTGGTGCATTGAGCTGGACGGAAAATGTTCTTGTTACAAAAAGGCAAAACGTTGATCAATAATAACAATAATAATAATAATTTACACTGTTTACTTTGGTTCTGTTCACAGAATTGAGCCAAACACTGAAATAAAGGTTTACTGTGTATATTTGTAAAATCTTTTTAAACCCCTTTAAAATCAAGAAGGTTTTGCGAACCCCAGAGAAGCTTTAGTGTCCTAAAGTACTTGAATATAGAAATAAACTATAATATATAGATATAAAGTCAAAGTCAGTTTTAATGTCAATTACTTCACATGCACCAGACATACAAAGGAATCAAGTGGACTTTTCTCACTCGCCAACGGTGAAACAGAGAAAGTGCACAGGCACAACAGATAGGACAAGACATTTCCTAATACTAAAAGTAAACATTCAATTTCACAGCAGATAAGAAATTACTAATGCTAAAAAGATAAAAAAAAGATAGACAATAGAATATAAAATATACAATAATATTAAATATACAATACAATACTTATGGTACTGCAAAAAGGCAGTCGGTAATGGCAGCAAAAAATTCTGTAAGATAAATTTGTAACATGCAAAAAGAACAGTCAGTAAAAGCAGTAAATAGCCAATTTCAGTCTGTATGATATGTGGTGATAGTAATAGTAATAGTAATAAATATACATATATATATATATATATATATAATATATAATAAATAAAATATACAGATATAATATAACAGATATGAATATTGTGTGAACCGCTTTAGTTCCAGGACAAACTGTTGATGCAGAATGTTTTCTGCAGTTATTCTGTCAGCAGATCTGAGGTCTGTTCACAGCTTTCAGTTGTTCCATATTCACTCTGTTTTTTATTGGTTTTAAATCACATTCAGTGTCAAACACTGGCTTTGTTGTTCCCTCTCTGTTTGTTCTGGTTTCTCTGTCTGGGTTCTCTCAGTGTGACTGTTAAAACTTCATCTGGTCCTCCTCTGGGATCCGTCAGATGTTTGTTTGGAGATCTGAAATATAATATCACAATGTGTGACTGTGTTTCCATCAGAACTGTCTGAGGAGGAGGGACGCCGGTCTCATCAGTCAGCTACAGGAGTTGGACCGACAGATTAGTGACCTGCGACTGGACACTGAGGCGTCACACGAACAGCTGGAGACTGACAGCCGACCCAGTTCAGGTACCTGAACATAATGAACAAATAAGCTCTTCCTGCAAAGTAAAATAAAAATATGGTCCGCGTGAGAATGGAGGAGAGAGAGCTTCAGTTATCTACAGATTGTACAGAATCAGGATCATTTGTGGAAGTTTTTAATTAAAGGTTCATTTTATGGATACAATTTTAACTGGTTTGATTTAAAGGCGACTGTATAGAAAACTTTATCATCTGCATATAGACGGATAATTCAGTACATTTTATGAGAATGGAAAACAGCAGAGTAGTCTTGTTGAGTACCAAAGTTTTATGTTAGAAATGTACATTTAAAATTTTGAAAATGTCAGAAATGGATTCAGCATTGTCAATAACCCCCAAACCCCCTCCTATATCATCCAAATCAGCCAATCAGCTGCTGAGATATTGTCCATATAGCTGATTAATAATGCTAATTATGGTAATTGTCCAACATATGCAGGTTAATATCAGTCGGTGTAACAGCTGGAGACCCAGACTGAACATTTCTGACTGAAAACTTAAAACTCAACATTTCTGGGTTCACAGTCTCCAAATAGACTAGAGTAGATTTTATGATCTTCTTCAGACCACAGTAGTCTCAGTGACGTCCCCCACAGGTTTGTGAAGTGTGGTCAGCTCTGGCTAACGCCTTCTAGACAGTCCTGACTCTTAATCACTTTCTTCCCTCTGCCTGTCTGTCTCTCCTTACCTGTCTCTCTCTCCTCACCTGTCTCCATGTCTCTCAGGTTTCTATGAGTTGAGTGATGCGGCGTCCGGCTCTCTCTCTAACTCGTCTAACTCGGTCTTCAGTGAGTGTTTCTGTCCATTGGCGGACGCCGATGGACGCCTCCTGTCGGCAGGTACACAGCTAATCAATCCATTCATTGATTAGATGATCAGCAGGAGAGAGTAAGGATATTGTTCAGTCTGTTTGGTGTCACATGTGGTCTCTCAACTTCTTTTGGTCACTAAAGTCAAAAGTTTTGCCTTCAAAATAAAAGTCATCAATTGAGCTGTAGCTTATACTTTGGATTTGTTTTTTTCTGATCAGTAGATTAGACAGGGGTGGCTGGCCCATAGTGGGCGATAGTGCACCGCCCTCCTTCAAGAAAAAAGAGTTTATTTTGCCGTTCTAAGTCTTAATCATAGACTGTATATAAAGGTCTTAATATTATTGTCCAATCAGCAGTCTGAATATCGCTCTGACATTCAGCAGCCTGACTATCACTTTCCAACCAGTAGCCCTGCCCCCTTGTGGCAATTTCAGTCAGATCAAAAATCGCCCCAGGCACTCTCGTAGACTTACATGTTAAAATTCTTTTTTTCAAATTTTGGACCCTACAATTCATTTCTATGGGCTCTGGGAGGGCTCGCCCCAACGTGATTTCGTCATACGCACTGATGCGTGCTCGGACGTTACGCACAGTGCAAAAGCATCGGGAGACTGCAAGATCGACATGGCTACCACCTGCAACTCCATCATTTCATTGAGGGAATTACCATTCAGTCGTCGAAGCAATGTTGATAAATTGGCTATTAAAGAATTGGGACCACCCAGACCAAATTTATATATACTGTCGCAGATTTTCCCGGAGCTGGTACAAGCGGAAAACATGGCTAGCAGGGTGTGAAGTGGCTAACACGCTGTTGTGCTACCCCTGTGTCCTAATTCACCCTGATGCCAACAGGGACACCGCCTGGACAAAGACAGGTGTCACTGATATGCACCATCTCTCAGAAAAGGTGAAGAAACATGAAGCATCAAAGATGCATATGGACAGTATGAACAATTCATGTCTGGTGTTGCCATCTAGTGGTTGAACAGGAAAACCAAATTTAACAATGCAATGTAACACTGTCAAGTTAGCTATCTGAGTTTTATTTATTATTATTTTACCCATTGAACGGGTCATCTTAGCCATCATCGCAACAGTTGCCCCCCCCTTAGAAATTTGTCAGGAGCCACCACTGAGATTAGAACCAAGTGTGAACCTATCGTTACGTCACCCGTTGGTTTGTGGTGACCATGATAGTTGGTCAGAGCCAGCAGCGGTGATGTACTGCGAGTTGAGCTGCTCTCATTGGCTGCTCTTGGTTTGGAAACAATGGCGGCTCTCCTGCTCACACAGGATCTGGTATTCCAGATAAACAGTAAAATGTGTTTGTGAACAGATTTGAGGAGAGAAATAGTCAACAACAGAATCTGGATCCATATCTGATCAGCACTGTTTGACAGTTTGATCTGAGTTTGGTTGAGCTGGACGGACTCACTGAGAATGAGCTGTCAATCACAAGGTAGCCCCGCCCTAAAGCATACCCTGCTTTATGGTCTGTTTTACTCTAAATGGGACCATCAGTTACTAAATGAACATCATGCTGTATGGAAGAAGACTGAAACTAGAGACTGATACCAGAAACTCATCAGGAAACTGTTTACTGAGCTGATTCTCCATTAGAGTGAATGGGATCAGTTAATATTGCAGCCAGGGAAGCTCCCCCTGCTGGCCATTACACAGAATGCAGGTTTTAAGACACTGTCCATTACATACACTGTCATTATATATACTGTCGTTATATTAACTGTAATTATATACACTGTCAATGATTAGAACCAGATTCAGCAGCTCCGTCTGTGTTTAACTTTAAGGTTCAGACTGTCAGCATGTGTTGGACAGTAGCATCAGTAGTTTTTTAAATCTCTCACTTTAACACAAAGACCTCCTAGCGGTCACTGTGTCCATCAGGCTCAAACTCACACTCCAGTTCCTGATGACAGAAAACAGCAAACTCTTATTTGATAACATGACTGCATTAAACTTTGGGTTTTTTTGCCTAAAAATGATTAATTAATTATCTAAATAGTTATAGATTAATATTCTGTTGATAAAATTCATTAATCAACTAATCCTCACAGCTGGTTTATGTTTTTATTCTTTAATGTTTTTGTTTATAAAGTGCTTTATGAACAATAATAATAATAATTATGATTATGATAATCATCATAATGGGTTTGCTGCGCTCTCCCTACTCCCTTTCCTTTCTATCTTCAGCTGTTCAATAAAGGGAAGAAACAATCTTTAAAAAAAGAAAGAACTAAATAAATCTACTGACTGAGGTTCAGCTCAATAAATCTGATTAATATTGCGAACATTGTGTGTGTGTTCGGAGGAAACATCTGGAAGCACCTCTGATAAAACCACTCACACAGCGACACGTCCAACACACACTGCTAACACCCACCCCCCCTCCGTCTGCTCTGATTGGTCCGTTCACTCCACATGTTTCTAGGGAACGATGCCAGTTTGATACTGTGGTAAAAAAAAGGTTCCAATCAAGGTTTTTTGGCCTGATCTCCTTTTAATATCCCTGAGTCCTGATCAATATGTGTATTTTCATTAATAGTACAGGTTAATGTTTTTATACAGAACACATTATCTTTTTTAATACTAAACAGCTCAGCGTGAGGTCAGGGAGGCCACAGGGTCACACACATCATTTGATTCTCTTCAAGCATCCAGTTGGCAAATGTCATTCAGGGCGCCTTATTTAAGCTGCGTTAGCCGGTCTACCTTTGCTGCTTCCTCTGCAACCCTCCTCCACCCAGCTCCTCCTGTAATGCTGTATCTGAATTAATCAGTGTCCTTTGTGTTGTCACTGAGGCTCTGCTCTGGACCCTGGGGCTCTTTGCTGCTGCTCTCCTTATCTTAAGCTTTCCATGTATGTAGGTGGAAGGCCACAGAGGTCCCAGAACAGAGTCATACTGCCAAATATAACATTCTGCATTTAGAAAAGTTTTCTTTTTGACAAAAGTGGTCCTGACTGAAATAACTAGGCTATAAAACATCCCAACAGACTCACTCTGTAATCTTTTTTGGTCTTTGGTCTGTCTCTCCCTGCAGAGTCTGAAGTGCAGACTTTACCTGAGTTACCTGAATGAACTGTATTCTGCTCAGTATTTGTTTTCCTCAGATTACATTCATAAATTACTCTTATTTGCTTTTTGTTTGCAGAGTTTTTGTTGCACCATTAAGAATACCTGAAAATACATTAAAAAATCACTTCCTGTCAGTATTGGACAGATACTGGAGGACAGGAGACATACAGCACAAAGACAGATAAGATAAAAACACTGAAACATTGATTCTGACTTCATGGGGATTCTTTTTTTTTTTTAACTTTATTTTTATTTAACAAGAAAAAACACAGTACAAAACATTCCTTGACAACAGCACAGAGTACATATGACAGTGCGAAAAAAATAAAACAAAGACAAACATAGAACGAAAGACACATTGGGGCCCAGCAAGCTGAACAACAACGAGTGCAGTATAATTAAATAAATAGATGAAAGAATAATGGATAGTCAGGACAGTACAGCACAGTATGGGTTCCCTTCAGTTAGAGAGGTATCTTGCAATAGGTAGCCACCTCCTCTTAAAGACATCCGACCGTAATTGTAACTGAGCAGTTAAAGCCTCCGTTCCATACACCTCCCTCAGCTTCTGTTTCCACTGTGCCACTGTAGGTGGCCGTGGAGTCCTCCATTTTATTGTCACCATTTTTCTAGCAGTCATCAAAAGTATGTGTAACAGGTGCTTTTGGTCTCTGGTGTACGTGTCGTCAGGAGTTAAATCGAAAAGAAACTGTCTTGGGCTAAACAGTAAATCAATCCCCAGAATTGTATCGATCTCGCTCTTTACCCCCTTCCAAAAAGGAAGCAGCTTTGGGCAATCCCAAAATATGTGTGAGTGGTCACCGACCATCCCGCATTCTTTCATTGGGATTTTAAACTACAGCATTTCTTAAAGGGAGTTTGGTGCAGGGAGCTTTTAGTTGGATTCAAACTGCTAATATGGATGTTAACGTTTAGTCTCCACTACAGAAACACTAGCTAACTGCTAAAGGCTGATAAAATTGTCTTTTTTGATTAATGCTTTAATGTTGGGAGTATTGATTACTGATCAGGATCATTATCAGCTGATTGTTTCTAACAGCAGTGTGCTGTAAATGGTTGTGTGCCTGTTTTTAAACTACTTTAAAAGATGTTATTAATACTCCTGTTGCTGATCGGTGTCATTGACGACTTTAAGACATGGAAGTTGTGTGGTGTGAGCCTGACATTTGCAAACTTAATGCTGTCTCTCTCTCAATGAGTGTTCAGTCTCTGACATATTGATCATTTTAATTTCGTTTCCAGGAACATGAAGAGTTAACATTTCACAGCACATTGTGTCCACAGGAAAGAATTTTCCACTTAGTAATGCTCGTACGCTCTGTTCACAAACAGGGTCATTACCACATTCAACAGACCATTTCATCAGAGCTGCACTGCCAGGAAACTGCTTTCTGTCAGCTGTTGACATTTAAGAAACACTGCAACATGAAATAAACTCCGATCCATTTATACTGTTTATGTTTGAAACTGTGAAATGTTTTGCAGTGTGGTTTACAGCAGCCCTCCACTGATTTCTCACCCTCTCTCTCTGCAGATGAGCTGGCTGGCTGTTTGGAGTGTGACGGTTTGGCTGGAGGCCTTTGTGATGACTTGTCTTCCTCCGGTACAGTCCGCCGCTCGCTCTCAGCCCCTCACCCGCCCACCCTGGACCCCGTCTCCTGTGACTCCCAATCCAAGTACCACTGTGACCTGGTGGCCCGAAACGGCAGCGACGTGTACCGCTACCCGAGCCCACTGCACGCTGTGGCAGTCCAGAGCCCTGTCTTCCTGAAGATGTTGGGTCACAGCAGAGACGAAGGGCTTCTGAAGAGCGCTGAGGCTGGTGAACCTTCTGTTTCAGCTCCTCTTGTACCTCAGAGCTCCTCTTGGCCAGCCGCCTCCGCTTCCTCCTCCCAGACTCCTTCCCATAAGCGACTGGACAGCTACATCTACAGTCTACTGCAACGGAGGGCCCTGCCCATCAGGACCAGCAGACCCAGGACCAGCATCAGTACTGACCCATCTAAGAGCATACTGAGGCAGGCCAGTCTCTCTGTGAGGCAGGTCTCTGGATCTGGTTTAGGGACTCTGAGAGGGTCTGAAATCAAACCCTCCTGGCTGGCTGGAAGAGCTTCAGCCGACGGTGCCGCCACCTCGTCTCCTCAGAGGCAGTGGTCTGTGGAAAGTAAATCTGAGGAACGGGAGACCCACAGTGTTTTCCCTGACAGCTCTCCTCTTAGGAATGGCATTCAAAATGGCTCCTCTCTCACTAATACAAGCACTAACAGTCTGCTGAAAAAGAAAAGCAAAAGGCTTCTTTCTCTCTCAGCAGCGTCCACCGCTACGCTGCCGAAAGACTTCAGGGAGCCGGACAATCCCAAAGCTAACTCCTCCCCGAAAGAAACCCAGGAACTGCTCCTTAAATCGTCACCAGTCATCAAAACAGCTACTCACAAGAACGGCCCAAAGCCTCTACAAACTGGCCCGACAGAGAAGCTTGAGGGGTCAGTGCTAGAGATAGCCAGCCTCGGTTCTTCCTCCCAGAGTCAGGATGAAGCTGGAGGTGACGAAGGAGAGATGGTAAATGCCAAGTACATCCCCACCCAGCGACAGAACGTCAAACTCCGCAAGGGTGGCAGCAAGACTGTCAAGACTATCAAGATGATGAAAACGAGTCGGGGCTATGAACACAATGTGTCAGAGAAATCCCACCATAGGTCCAGCTCTAAGAAGTCCCGGCTTTTGGAAGATGGAGGTTCAATCCACATCAAAGTCTCCAAGAGAGTAGCTTGTGGTGCCTCCTCTAAAATCAAACGTCTCCCTGCGTCCATCCCAGAAGGCAGAGTTTTGGACAAACACACCCCGTCAACATTAAGCAGCGTGCGGTCTGGAGCATCCAGGCACCATCACCATGGAAGACACCACCACAACAGTGGGAACCCCCACCAACATGGGCATCATCACCACGGCCGCGACCAGGTCGTTGTAGTCGCTAAACCGAAGTATAAACGAAACGATTACCGGCGGTTACGTGCGATCATGGAGGTGCCGTACGATGAGGCGTTCAGGCGTGCTCAGCGGCGGCAGAGAAAGGAGCTGTTGAGCCATTCTGCAGCCAATGTCTTCCTACCCTCCGAAGGGCCATTGAACAGCCCATACGCCTACGTGACAGGAAGTGACTCAGAGTATTCAGCCGAGTGCGCGTCACTCTTTCACTCCACCATCGTGGACACCAGTGAAGATGAGAGGTCCAACTACACCACAAACTGCTTCGGGGACAGCGAGTCCAGTGAGGAGGAGTACGTGGAGGAGAGCACCACAACAAGTGACACTGAGGAGAGCGGAGGAGGCGGGGCTGGGGCAGGTGGAATGGGCAGAGGGAGGAGTCACTCCCGGGCAGCGGGGTCCCGGGCAGCAGAGCATGAAATGAGTCCAGCTCAGGCGAAGGCCTTTGTGAAGATCAAGGCTTCTCACAACCTGAAGAAGAAGATCCTTCGGTTCAGGTCAGGTTCTCTCAAACTCATGACCACCGTGTGACTCAAGTGCCAAACTGGACCAGAGCCATATCTGTCTGGGTGCCTTACCCATGCACTTCTTGTGTACCTGAACCAACAGTGAACCACTCCTAACATGGACAGTGCTTCAGTAGGACAGGTGCTTTATGGTACACTTATTTAGTTTTAAACCAATCCCAAGCCTCTTTAGCCTGAGAGAGAAACCAGTCATCCATCTTTGTAAAAGCATGTTTGACTCCCAATAAGAAAAGTCCAAATTGAGTTTTTCTCATATCTGGCCTGAAGGGCTGTTCACACAGAGACACACCGTTGGTTACCTGTGGTACGCCAAGCCTGGCATCTGCTCCTCTCTTGTGCCGCAGGCTGTGGTTTTCTAGCAGTTTTTAGAGACAAATAAAAGTTACAAAATTGTAAACTTTTACAGTGCAAGTCGTACTTATCATCAATATCACACTTTACCTAGGCAGCCAATCAAATCAAGCAAGAGCTTTATTACTTTACCACTTCCTTCCTATTTTGATGCTGTTTACTATATCGGTGAATAGGTTAGCTAGCAAGCTAGGTAGCTGACTGTGAGAGAGCTACAGAGCAGGGATGTAGTGGGGATAAACCAAGGTGTTTTTGAAGCTGCCACACCTGTAGCAATGCGTCTCTGTGTGATCGCCCCCTTACTCTTTTTAGTCAGGAGATACATTTGACGCCTTCCATGGTCACCAGTTCAGTCCATCTGAACAACCCAGGGTTGTGGTAGTCCTCTGGCGTAGAAAAGATCCGATAACTCTGACAAGTTGTGACATGCAGAGGGTGGTTGCCTCTGTTCTCTTCTGGTATTATGATGCTTGAATGCTAAAATGGGAACAAGGAGGAATTTTGTGGTCAGCAACCTTTCAGCAGTGCTCTTGCAAGTTACATAAGTTGCTTGATTGACAAACATATCATCTTATCAACCATCTTATGTGGATTCTGTATGGTTTTGATAATTTAACATATGGTGTGTTCACACTATACGCGAAGTGCAAATAACACAAGTTTATTCACAGGATCTTTTGGGTTTAAGTATTAAGTAAATATTCACCCTTTAATCTGGCTTACTTACAAAATAAACAATTATTTCTGTGATTTAATGTCAATAAATGAATCAAAAGGATGCTGAAATGACTACATATATGAGGAAAATTCACATCTTTGCATTGGATTGGTTTGTAATCTCATCACATGAAAAATTCTCTTTGCTTTTTGTGTGAACACACCATTCAAGTTTAAGTATTTTAATTTGTGGGAAAGCCATTACAGCACTGGGTTGATCACATGGACTTAACAACGAAGGCATTATGCAGCAGGAACTCAAACCCAGTTCACTATATGGCTGCTCAAACACTAAACAAGTATCACTGAACTAGGTTTGCACGCTCTTTCTCATGTCATAATCAGTGGTTATGTCTGCATGGATCAAATTATATCTGCAAGTTTCTGGTCAAATGAGCCTCCACCTTCCTGCTTTCAGGTCAAACGCAGCATTGGATGCTTTTAGGAAACTGCTGTTTGTAAAGAGGTGAAGGGTTGGTTTTCGCCAATCAAATTGGCCTCCTTCGCTTGCCTCTCTCTTTCCCGGCCCAACAAGTGCCTCAGTCGACGTAAACCCGACTGTGAGAGGAGAAATCAAGGTCTCAGTCTGCTTGAAACTGAATGGTTTGTGTCTTTACGTGTCATTGTAGTGAGGCTAGATTTAATCTTTTTGCTCACATGGAGCATATCCTTAAACAATATCATATTCTGGTGTAGAAACACTGAGTGGTTTAAGGGAGGCTCCACAAGATGGGCTGGGGGAACTTGTGTGTTTGAGGTGGGTCTATAGGGACCCATAGCTCATTCTTGCCTCTGAGCAGGTTAATCCAGCCAAGTTTTGTAGTCTGAAAGCCATCAATCATTCAAATGGGAATAACAGAGCACATTTTCAGTCTCTCCTTGAAGACATTTGGGGGGTTGCACTCAGTTGTTCCCCTGAAACAATGACAGAGAAGAACATGGGAACTGCCATTGGAAAGAGGATTTTAGAAGTCAGCTATCCAGGCCTGTAATGTTTCTATAGAGCGCTGCAGGAATGAAACCCGGTGTTAGCATTTTAACCAACAAAGTCAATGGGTTTATTGATGTCTGAAATAAGGTCTGTGGTTAACATGAGCTGGAGAGATTTTCACGGTTTGTTTCCGGTAAAATTGATCATGAAATACTCCACCTGTGAATGTTGCTGCTTTTATGTGACTTAAAAAAGACAGATGCTAACAAGTGTCTAAATGAGACTACAGAGGTTGTCAGTGACATTAAAACACAGTGACTTTACTCTCTAGTCCGCCTTTACAGCCTCTTCGTGTTTATACTTGTGTAGGGCTCGTTATTGTTCAAAAATGTCAATTCATTGACTTTGATACCAGTTCCTGAACGGTACTTATTTATAAAATTCATTTTAACAAGAAGGACATACATTATACATTACAGTACAATTATTCACTACAAAGGAGGAAGCTGTTCAAAGACCTTATTTGTGCTGATAAGACAATACATTTTTCTATACTCTGTAGTATCAATGCAATTCGGTCAGTTGAACTTCGGTAACCAGCTCTATCTTCGCGCTCTTGCAACTATTATAACTCAAACTTTACAACTTTAATTAAATATTTAATTACAAGTTTAGTGGTGGTAAAGTCATGTGACCATGGTAGCTCATTTATAGCGTTAGCTTTTTACTTAAAAATAAAGTGTAGTTCATTAGTGAAGCAGCCGTACAAAATCACAACATATTAAAATACAGCACAATGTGCGCCATCCCTGCAGCTCTCTATCGGACTACGTTCCCTGGTCTCTGGTAGCAGTAGAAAGGTTCTTCAGAGAGAAAGTGCTTCAGGCGGTTGTTGAAATGTTTCTCCAGAGCGTTCTTCAGAAGGTGACTTGGGTTATAGGTTGTCTTGCTGCAGTAATGTGCTTATTTCCTGCACTTTGAGACAAATTGACAGGATGGTTATTAATCTGTTCTTTGTATGTGGCCTCGTTTTGTATTTATTATCACAGGAACCGACACAGCACGCCAAACGTCTGTAAATGCTTCTCTTTTTATTTGACAGTTCTGATTGAGTTTTTTGATGAAAGCTATTTAAAGCCTAATATATTTGCTTGGTACATATTGGAAACACACATGGTACTGTCTGACTGCAGTTTATTTATACACTATAAGTCTGATGTGTCTTTTTTAACACTTCCACCACTGGTGCCATAATATCGTATTTATACAGCTTTTAGACAAATGTTTGTTGTGTTTTAGAGCCTAAATTTCCTGCTTTCAGATCAGGGAATGATAAACTGTTTCTGCGTTTTGCATAACGTAAAATTCAGATGAATCATCCAGCAGAAAGTTGTCTTAGTTTGAAACTAAATGGATGAGATACATGGGCACTGCAATGGTTTTTGTGTCAATATTATAACTTGTTGCTGATCTTTTATCAAATGTGCTAAAATGTGAAATAAAGTTGTTGAAACCTCCATTTTAGGTTTCCCTGGAAAAATACCAAACATAGCCTTGTTTTAGCCGACACAGCCAAACATACTTTCACCAGAAAATCTATGATTAGGAGTTCGATTATAACTATAAGCAGGGGGAAACTGTTCTCTCCGTCAGAAGAGGAAAAGTCAAATACCAAATAACATATGAGACCATTTTTTGACTTGGGTTAGAAATGTTAAGTCTGATGCTAACTTGAATATGTTGAACAATTAGCATAATTAGCATTAATAATCAACTATATAGACAATATCTCATCAGCTGATTGGTCGATTTTGACAATACAGGAGTGGTTTTGGGGGTTATTGAGGACGCTGAATCCATTTCTGATGGTTAAACCAGAAGTATCCATATTTCAACTCCTAGTGGGCTGATTTGGATTCATTTTGAGGTAATTTATATGATTAATACATAACCGCAGCAGCAAAGACACAGCAAAAAGAAGACTTTGAATGTGTTTTCACTCTGCTTCCAGTCTTTGTGCTAAGCTAGGCTAAACACATACTGATAAAAGTGATATCCATCCTCTCGTCTGACTCTCAGGATGAATGACATGATTTTACTGAATGTCAACATTTGAAGTGTAGTTTTTATCCAACCAACTGCAGCCTGAAGACATTTTTTATATGCGGTCTGGAAGCTCTTTGAGTTGATTGTTCTGGTTCAGAGTTGTTCTAGATATTAATAACTCCCTTTAAAAAGCCACAGAACGCTTCTGTTCAGCTGTCACACTGCGTTTCTGTTGAAAGCTATTTTGAGTTTCTGTCGGCTGATTTAAAACCTGAGCGTCGCTCTGATCCAACTGTTACTGATGTGTGTGTATCATGTTTTTAACCTTCATTAAATGTGGACTTTAACAGGAGAGTTTCATTATTCGTCTGTTTCCTTCCGACCTCAAATCTTGAATCCTGACAGTCTGGAGCTGTGTGGGTTTTGTCCCAGTTGGCATCCAGTACAATGAGTCTCCCTGCTGCTCAGCCCGATCACAAGATATTTACTGTGTTATTGAGCTAAGCTGCTTCACGCTGCTGAATGTGACCTCTGCAGGAAATCTGTCTGAATGTGACCTCTGCAGGAAATCTGTCTGAGTCACTGCAAACATGTTACTAACAAGTGCTAACATGTTCACATTGCTAAAATGCTGACAGTGCTAACATGCTAACACCAGAAGAGCCGAAGAGAAGGATACAGCTTTGGAGGCGGAGCTCCATTCATTATATGAAAGCTGCTCAGTGGCGCATAAAGCCAAAAGACTGACTTCCTGCTGTAGCTATTACCTGGATGGACACATACTGAGCATGCTCAGTGGGTCATATATATATAGACGTGATCAAATGAATCCTCCAGACAAACTGATTCACTCATTCACATGAATTCAACTCAACAATAGATAGATAGATAGATCACTGCAGTCTGTACGTAGCTATACATACTGTAGATGAACTGTTGAATCAGTTGTTCAGAACTTAAATGTGTTCAGTATTTTAAGTTCCACTGACTCATTTTCTTTAGGTTGACTTTGTATCATTATAACAATGTTAGCATTATAATGCTGTATAGCATTTTATTTCAGTTTATTAATCATCATAAACCCAAATATGCACCAAAATCTTTCTTAATGAGCCCAAAGTGTAAAGATTTGATGTTTGTCACTTAAAAAAAACCATTTAACTATTAACTATTGAATTATTTGAATCATACGTCAGCTGTGTGACAGGTGATGTAATAATTTGCTTTAGTGGAAGAAAACTGAGTAAATTCAACTTTATTTATTTATTTGTATAAAGTTTATTCAGATATTTATTTAATAGACACATTAATGCTGCATATGAGAGTAACTTCAGTTAACTGGTTCTACTGCTGCAGATTAATGAATCTGAAGGTGAACGAGGCAAATGGCTGCAGTGTGTGTGTGTGTGTGTGTGTGTGTGTGTGTGTGTGTGTGTGTGTTTAAGGGCACTCTCAAGGATTTCCTGTGTGTACCACTGCAGTGATTTATTCCTCTGCTCCTCTGAGCTGACAGAGAGAGTGTGTGTGTGTGTGTGTGTGTGTGTGCGTGTGTGTGTGTGTGTTAGTGTGTGTGCCTGTGTGTAGCTCAGATGGAAAAACTGAAAAAGGACAAAATAATATTTCAGAGCTGCCAAGTAGGTTTTCACATACAAGAAAATTTCCTTGAATGTGAAAAAGGACGGGGGCTGCAGGAGGAGGACGGGGGCTGCAGGAGGAGGACGGGGGCTGCAGGAGCAGGACGGGGGCTGCAGGAGGAGGGACGGGGGCTGCAGCAGGAGGACGGGGGCTGCAGGAGGAGGGGGCTGCAGGAGGACGGGGGCTGCAGGAGGAGGACGGGGGCTGCAGGAGGACGGGGGCTGCAGGAGGACGGGGGCTGCAGGAGCAGGACGGGGGCTGCAGGAGGAGGACGGGGGCTGCAGGAGGAGGACGGGGGCTGCAGGAGGACGGGGGCTGCAGGAGCAGGACGGGGGCTGCAGGAGCAGGACGGGGGCTGCAGGAGGAGGACGGGGGCTGCAGGGGGGCTGTCCTATGCATTGTACAAAATAACAGAATATCAGAGGACCTTTACTGAGCTCTTATTCTGAAAGTTCTTCCTGAAAGATCTATTTTCATTTTCAGTGTTCTGAAATCTGTCAGACGCACAGAGATCTCCTTTTTCTACATTTTACATTTGATTCAAATGTAAGGAGGAGGAGGAGGAGGAGGAGGAGGAGGAGGAGGAGGAGGAAGTACAGCAGCAGACTGAAGAAAAACAACAAGATTTATTTTCAGGCTCCAGACGAGCCATAAAACATTCTCCATGAAGCTTTTAACCTTTGACCCCTCTGACCTCTGGCTGTTTGAACTCACAGAACTTTATTTAAACTCAGAACCAGACGACTGAAGGGAGGAAGACTGCAGGAGGTCAGAGCTGTTCTCAGGAAATCAATCAGTTTACTCACAAGAGGAGGAGGAGGAGGAGGAGGAGGAAGAAGAGGAGAAGGAAGGGGAAGAGGAGGAGAAAGAGGAAGAAGAGGCTGAGTTTTCCTGAGCATAATGAGGACTTTGAAGCGTCCGAAGGAAGAGACAGCAGCTTTACAACCTCTGTATCCTTCCACCACATCTGGATCCAAAATTCAAATAGATCCAGTTTATAAATCAGTTTCTTGTTTCTGTCTTTGATTTTATTTTCTCTACTTTTTATTTCTCATACAGTCAAATAAAATAGATGCATATTTAGCTGATAATAGAATTTATTTAAGTAGAAATGATGAGATAAAAATTATGATTCTATATCTCATAACGAGATATTTTTATTATGAAGGCTACATTTTCATTTTGTTTTTCTCACTGACAGAAATTGGCTTCCAGACACATCATAGTTCTACATTTATTGGATAACTTAAGTCACTTCCTTCCATTCAATTTTATTTGTATAGCGCCAATTCATAACAGAAGTTATATCAGGACACTTTTCAAATAAAGCAGGTCTAGACCAAACTCTTTAAAACATTAATTACAGAGACCCAACAGTACCACCATGAGCAAGACCTTGGAGACAAGGGCAAGGAAAAACTGCCTGTTAAAAGGCAGAAACCTAGGACAGACCCCGACTGTAGGTGGGTGGTCGTCTGCCTCGACCAGTTATACATTATTAATACAAATGATGTGTAAATATATGTACAGTGTGTAAAAATAAACATTTTTACAGACAAATAAAAACAAACATACAGACCTGCTCTTCTTCTGTCCTTCTGAATATGTTGCTCTCGTGGAAACAGATCTGTTCAGCTGAATAAGTAACTGTTTAATGATAATAGATCATTGATTTGATATATATATATCCACCATAAGAGCTCATGTATATAATGAATAATAAAGGAAGAACAATGGATAATAAGTCATTAATGTTTGGTTGTTCTGTTTGTTAATATAAATAAATATTTCTCTGCAACCTGAAACTGATGAATCGCTCACATTGAGATCAATACTCTCAGACTGCAGGCTAAAGAGCACGCTGCCGCCCACACTGGCGCCCACGCTGCCGCCTACGTGATCCTCTGAGTGTGAACACATTGATTCCTGCAGGACCTCACAGGTACAGTGAGAGCCTCTGATGAAAAGCAGCAGTCTTCATCACAGCCTCCAGCTACCAACTCCTCTCCTGGAACCAGTGAGTCCTCAACCATCTCTTAGTTATGCTGCTAGACTGCTGGGGGACTTTCCATGATGCACTGAGCTCCTCTCTCTCTCTCCATCTGCACACATTCATGCTGTTATATTAGTTATATACTTTATTCTTTTTTTTCCTTTTTTCACACAATTTTTTTCACATTGTTGCCGTTGCAACATGCTCAAACATTCGCAGCACAAAATAAGGTATTATAAGGTATAATAAGGTATTATAAAGTAAAAGAAGGTACAATAAGGTATTATATGGTATAATAAGGTATTATAAGGTGTATAAAGGTATAATAAGGTGTATAAAGGTATAATAAGGTGTATAAAGGTATAATAAGGTATAATAAGGTGTATAAAGGTATAATAAGGTACTATAAGGTGTATTAAGGTATAATAAGGTATTATAATTTGTATAAAGGTATTATAAGGTATAATAAGGCATTATAAGGTGTATAAAGGCGTGATCCACCAACCACCCCGTATTTTAATGACAAATCTTGTTTTTTCCATCTATTCCCACGGTCTTCTCCCACTGAAAATAGTGAGGCTGGTAACGAGTTGATGCGACAAAGTCGGCCAAAAGATGGTATTTATGTATTATATTGATGCCGAATTGACAAGAAGACTGTTGAGATATGATGAGTTTTTTCTTGTGTTTCTACAGTTATGTGCTTTTATGTAAATGCAAATAATTGTTAATATATGGTATTTCTTAAATGAAGGTATAATATTGTCCTGGGATTATGCAGGAAGCATCATGGTTTAATTAAAATTGCTAAAGTAACTAAATAAGTAATAACCACAATGATGGGAATAATAAGTATGTCGTAGTAATAATAATAATAATAACAACAATAACAATAATAATAATAAGTAATGCTATCAATAACATGAATAACAATATTTATATTAATAAATAATACATAATTAAGAAGGAAAACTATTCTTAATGTGCAGTCATAGGCAGTGTATGTTTGTTAAAGTTTTAGAAAAGTGTCCACCAGACCCCATACCTGTTCAGATACAATGAACGAATGTACGAATTTGCCTACGTTTCTATCTTTAAATTATTTCTGTAGAGTGACATTTGTGGCCTTGAGAGCAGTTTACAAATTTATTTTTCGACAAATTTTCTCTCTCTCTCTCCACTCTAACTGAAACGGCAGGTTTTAGCAGTCGGACATTCTACCAATACACACCCATTCATTTTTTGGCCTGGTTTTTGGCGATTTATCGGCAATCTGTTTGGCGAAACGCTTAGAAAAGTCACAGCACTAATGTCCCCACTGAGCCGCACGTTTTGGTACCTTTTTGGGTATGTGCGACCAAAACTGCGGGAGGAGTAGTCGACCGAAAAACGTACGGAAGAATAATAATAAGCACAGGGAAGAATAGTAGTGTGCTTTCCAGGCACACTAATAAGGTATAATAAAGTATAATAAGGTATGATTAGGTGTATAAAGGTATAATAAGGTGTGTAAAGGTCATCATCAGCAGATGTTTGCTCCGTTGTCATGGTGACGGATCTGTTGAGAGCTCAGAACAGCTGCTGTGAGACAAAATCCAGTAAATGGACCTTGAGTTGTTGGTGACAATGAAGTCTGATGTTTATGTAAATAATGTTAGTGTGAACTTCCTGTTTGTTTGTTTGTTTGTTTGTCAGTCAAATCAGCTGCATATATAACACACACACACACACAAACACACACACACACACACACACACACAAGGTCAGGTTCCTTCTCTGTTTCCATGACGATGACAGTAAATTGTTTGTGTTTCAGCTGAAATATGAAAACGACAGATGGTAGTGGTGGTTAGCTGTTAGCCGTTAGCAGTGGTGTACTGTCCCTTTAAGGGCTCTGTTCTGATATGTGCTGACATCACAGGAAGTCTGATCCAAACTGCTGACTCATCATCAGCCCGATGACGTCATCTCTCGCTGTGCAGCCGCTCCGTCACAATCAATACAGAATCAATACGTTAACGCAGGATCACTCACCTGCTGCTTGACCTCTGACCTGCAGGGTCAAAGGTCACTTAGGGGCTGAACATCATCATCATCATCATCATCATCCTTCATTAACAGAGTAACAGAGTCAGAGTTATTGATTAACTGATGTTTGATTGATTATTTTCAAGAGTGAAATGATCAAAAGAATCAATAAGAATCAGATTTAACGTCATTATCTGGACTGTTTGTTAATAATAAATAATAAGTAATAAGATAGATATGGACCAGCAGACTGCTCTGCACTGTGTGTTCTGACCCCTTTCTATCAGAACCAGCATTAACTGTTTCAGCAGTCTGAGCTACAGTAGCTCGTCTGTTGGATCGGACCACACGGGCCAGCCTTCACTCCCCACCTGCATCAATGAGCCTTGGCCCCCCATGATCCTGTCTCTGGTTCTGTTCCTTCCTTGGACCACTTTTGATAGGTACTGACCTCTGCAGACCGGGAACCCCCCACAAGAGCTGCAGGTTTGGAGATGTTCTGACCCAGTCGTCCATCACAATGTGTTTCTTGTCAAAGTGGATCAGATCCTCACGCTGCACATTTTTCCTTCTTCTAACACATCAGCTCTGAGGACCAAATGGAGACAGAGAGAGAGACAGACAGACAGAGACAGACAGACAGAGACAGACAGACAGAGACAGACAGACAGAGACAGACAGACAGATTCAGCTGAGATGAAAATGTAAATCAGTTCATCTTCTCATCATCAGGCCTCAGGGAGTCTCAGAGGAGCAGCAGGAGGAGGGGTCAGAGGTCAGAGGTCACACATAGGGTGAGAGTGGAGGAGATGAAGGAGCAGACAGACAGTCAGGCTCCAACATGTTAGTAGACACACCGAGGAGGAGGAGGAGGAGGCGCGCAGTGTTCTAGTGGGGTAAGACAGACGTCTGTGATAGTATGTGTCTAATTTTTGTAATATTACGTAAATGAAAGAAGGCAGTCCTAGAGGTTTGCTTCATGTGGGAGTTAAAAGACAAATCCTGATCAAAGATAACTCCAAGATTCCTGACAGTGGTGCTAGAGGCCAAGGTAATGCCATCTAGAGTAACTATATCTTTAGATATCTAGGTTTTTGGGGCCAAGAACAAGAATTTTGGTTTTTTCTGAGTTTCACATCAGAAAATTGCAGCTCATCCAGGATTTTATGTCCTTAAGAAATGTTTGTAATTTAGATAATTGATTAATTTCATCGGGCTTGATCGATAGATATAACTGCGTATCATCTGCATAACAGTGAAAGTTAATGGAGTGATTCCTAATAATGTTGCCTAAAGGGAGCATATATAAAGTAAATAGTATTGGTCCAAGTACAGAACCTTGTGGAACTCCATGACTAACTGTAGTATTTATTGAAGATTCATCGTTAACATGTACAAACTGAGAACGATCTGATAAATATGACTTAAATCAGCTTAGTGCGGTTCCTTTAATGCCAATTTGATGCTCAAGTCTCTGTAAAAGAATATTATGGTCAATGGTGTCAAATGCAGCACTAAGATCTAATAATACAAGTACAGAGACAAGTCCATTGTCAGAAGCAATCAGAAGGTCATTATTAACTTTAACCAGAGCTGTCTCTGTGCTATGATGAACTCTAAATCCTGACTGAAAATCCTCAAATAAACTATTGTTATGTAGAAAGTCACACAACTCTTTGGCGACTACTTTCTCCAGAATCTTAGAGAGGAAGGGGAGGTTAGAGATTGGTCTATAGTTGGCTAAAACCCCTGGTTCAAGAGTGGGCTTTTTAGGAAGGGGTTTAATTACAGCTACTTTAAAGGACTGTGGTACATATCCTGATAATAAAGAAAGATTAATCATATCCAGTAAAGAAGTGGAGGATCTCACATCCAACACATTTTTCAGAATGATTAGCTCATCGGCAGAAATTACAAACCTCTGTTTTTAATGTGAACATGTATCACAATACTATAAAGTAAATAGTATTGGTCCAAGTACAGAACCTTGTGGAGCTCCAAGACTAAGATAATAATAATAATAATAATCCATCACTAAAACAATAATAATAATAATAATAATATACAAACACTGACTCTACCGACAATAATCACACAGTGTCAAGAACAATCAACACAAACTTTATTTAAAACGTTCATCATCATCATCATCATCATCATCATGATCATCATGATCATCAAACCCCCTCTGACATCATAAAAAGGAGACAAATGATGTCGCTAGAAAACATTGTTGGTGGAGGAGTCTGTATCTGCTGCTGACTCCTGCTGCTCCTCCTGCTCCTCTTCCTCCTCCGGTCTGATGAAGGGCAGATGAACGTCCATCCTCCTGGTTCCAGCTGGAGAAACAAACACTCATCATTATTAATCATACATCTAATATCAATAATCAATAAAACACTTTGAACTTTTCTGATGATGTAATTTGTTTATTATTCATTTGAATCACATTTTTATTTATTATCAGGACTTTTTATTGTGTGTGTGTGTGTGTTTGACTGTATATGAGCCCCGCCCCTTTTTGCTCTCTGGTCCAATCACAGTTGTAATCTTTGTTGAAAAGAAAACCACACTGAGAACACAGAGCTAACACAGAGCTAACACAGAGCTAACATAGAGCTAACAATTTATAACAATTAATTTCAACTCTAACTCCCCCACCCCCGGCAGCCCTCCTAATGCTCCCCTGAGCAACAACCCCAGGACACTCCTACAACCCCCTACCACCTCCTGACACCCATCGCAGACCCTGCCACCCCCCAATCTGGACTTCACATCACATACAGGCAGGTGAGGAGACAGCTGGAGAAGCTCAAACAGAGGAAAGCTTCTGGACTGGACCGCATCAGCCCTGGTGTATTGAAGGCATGATCCAGCCAGCTCTGTGGAGTTTTCCAGCACCTCTTCAACCTCAGTCTGCATCTTCAGAGTGCCAGTGCTCTGGAAAACATCCTGCCTGGCCAGTGCCCAAAAAACGCCCTGTGGCACTGGAGGACTACCTGCTGCAGAAGGCTTACTCCTCACTAGACAGACCCAACACCTCAGTCCGCGTCATGTTCATTGATTTTTCCAGCGCCTTCAACAAACGTGGCAAAAACAAAGGAGATGGTGGTGGATTTTAGGAGGAACAAGCCCCTGCCCTCTCCTGTCAGCATCGGCGGGAACGATCTGGATATGGTGTCGGCGTATAAGTCCTCGGTTGTCACAGTGGACAATAAACTGGACTGGTCAGCTAACTCAGAGGCCGTTTACAAGAAGGGCATGAGCCGGCTTTACTTCCTGAGGAGGCTCAGGTCCTTCAATGTCTGCAACAGGATGCTACAGATGTTCTATCAGTCTGTTGTGGCGAGCACCATCCTCTTTGTTGCCGTGTCCTGGGGTGTGGGCATCAAGGCAAAGGACGCCAACAGACTGAACAAACTCATCAAAAAGGCTGAATCTGTTGTTGGCTTGAAGCTTGTCACCCTGGAGGAGGTGGTGGAGGAGAGGATGCTGGCAAAACTGCTGGCAATCATGGACAATCCCACCCACCCCCTCCACACAACACTGGACAAGCTAAAGAGCAGCTTCAGCAACAGACTCATTCAACCACGCTGCTCTAGGGAACGATACCGGAGATCCTTCCTCCCCAGCTTTTAGTTTTAATGTTTAAATTCAGTAAATTGGTAGTTTGTCTGAGAACTGAGGCAGAGTTCACAGTGTGTTTGTGTGTGTGTGTGTGTGTTCAGAGGTAAAGTAAACACTAACACACACACACAGATCCTTCACTAAAACAACACACAGTCAGTGTGTGTATGTGATCCTGCTGATGCTGCTACTTCCTGTTTACATTAACAGCAGACAGACAGGAACCAACGGATGCTTTGGACCCCGACACCCCCCGTCCCTGCAGTACGCTGTGACATCACTGCAGTGAATTCCTCATCAATAATATATTATATATACACATATATAAATATCATATATACACATATATAAATATATAAATATTATATAATATATATTATATACACATAAAACATATATACATATAATATATATACATATATTATATATGAATATATAAATATATATTATATATAAATATTATATGAATATTATATATGTGAGTGTAAACATGCCCATATATGGAGCTGTGTGACAGAGCGGCTGCAGACTGACAGGAGGTCAGATTTGCACAAAAGTTTTCATGTATCATCTGGGGACTGTCCTAATAAAAACGCAATTCGAAGAATTTTGATACTTCAAAAAATAAGCACATTATAAAATTAGCACTTAATGTGGATTTTTCGTCAAAAAAAGAAGTGGACCATTTCCCCACATTGGTATGTCCGATTGACACCAAGCTTGGGTCCAGAGTTCCCCATGTCTTCCTTAGGTATTGTGCACAATTTCTGGCCACCGCCACAAGGTGGCGCTCTTTAAAATGAAGAAGTTTATATCTCTGCAACGGCACATGTGATTTAAATGAAACTTGGTACGATGCTTGCCCATGGCTCCCTGAGGCTCACTAATAAATGTGTCAACAATCCGCCACTAGGTGGCGCTCTGGTGGCAGGATACATGACTGTGTGGAGACTGTAAGAGTTATGAATATGAAATTCAGAGGGCACGTGTAGACTGGTGCCTGAAGCTCACATACCAAAAATCGTGTTTGTAGCGCCCCCTACAGGATTAAAAAGAAACAGCCCCGGCGCCACGTTTTACCGATATGTACGAAACTTGGTAGGCACGTGTAACTTTCCAAGACGTACAAAAAAGCCCCTTGGACCCATACCCCAAACCCCACGGGAAGTCAGCCTTTTTGATTTTCATTTTCACTTTCGGCGAACATTGAACGAACTCCTCCTAGGGAATTTATCGGATCTGCTTCAAAGTTTGTCAGTACGGTCAAAAAATGGTGCTGATTAAAAGTTGTGCTATTTGTGCATGTATGATGAAGGGCGTGTCCGTGGCCTTGTATTTGAACCAACTCCTACTAGAGAATTTATCAGATCTACTTCAAAATTGGTCAGTACAAGGTGCCTGGTTAGCTCAGTTGGTAGAGCTGGTGCCCCCTATATGGAGTTGCTGCAGCGGCCCGGGTTTGAATCCGACCTGCGGCCCTTTGCTGCGTGTCATCCCCTCTCTCTACCCCCGTTTCCTGTCAATCTTCAGCTGTTGCTATCAAATAAAGGCATGAAAAGGCCAAAAAAATAACTTAAATAAATATTCAAAATTGGTCAGTACATTTAAAAAATGGTGCTGATTAAAAGTTGTGCTATTTGTGACTGTACGTTAAAGGGCGTGTCTGTGGCGTGCCCTCAAAGTCAATTGAATGTCAAGCTGTGATGCCATTTCCGGCATTTAAGGGCTTCTGTTTTAAATAACTCCTCCTACAGATTTCATCGGATTGACTTCAAATTCGATCACTGCAATCTAGACACATTGGTTATCAAAAGTTGTGCTATTTGTGACTGTATGTTTAACCGTGTGCCCGTGACGACGTGTCGAATTCCACCGATTAGCCATCAAACAGATAGTACTCATACCTTCAGTGTACAGTCCCACCCTGAACACGTCCTCATAACTTCAGCGTACATGATCCAATCTCAATGAAACTTCACGTGTTTGATAACAGTCCCGCCCTGAACATGACAATATTCAGACATAGTGATAGCGGCACCTACTGGAGACAGGAAATAAGCGCTGCGTGGAGATTTGGAGCTGATTTACATGAAATTTTCATGTTGTGGTCCGCACCTTTTACGATGGCACGTGACGCGGTCGAAGCACGCCCCGAGTTGCGTTGAGTGCGAGGTCCTGCCCAACGCTGCTTGCAGCTTTAATTATTATTGATATTGTTATTATTAATATTATTATCATGATTCTTATTTTTATTGATATTATTATCATATTATTACTATTGCTATTATAGTTATTATTATTGTTATTATTATGATTATATGTGATACATTTTCACATTAAAAACAGAGGTTTGTAATTTCTGCCGATGAGCTAATCATTCTGAAAAATGTGTTGGATGTGAGATCCTCCACTTCTTTACTGGATATGATTAATCTTTCTTTATTATCAGGATATGTACCACAGTCCTTTAACGTAGCTGTAATTAAACCCCTTCTTAAAAAGTCCACTCTTGAACCAGGGGTTTTAGCCAACTATAGACCAATCTCTAACCTCCCCTTCCTCTCTAAGATTCTGGAGAAAGTAGTCGCTAAAGAGTTGTGTGACTTTCTACATAACAATAGTTTATTTGAGGATTTTCAGTCAGGATTTAGATTTCATCACAGCACAGAGACAGCTCTAGTTAAAGTTCATAATGACCTTCTGATTGCTTCAGACAATGGACTTGTCTCTGTACTTGTATTATTGGATCTTAGTGCTGCATTTGACACCATTGACCATAATATTCTTTTACAGAGACTTGAGCATCAAATTGGCATTAAAGGAACCGCACTAAGCTGGTTTAAGTCATATTTATCAGATCGTTCTAGTTTGTACATGTTAACGATGAATCTTCAATAAATACTACAGTTAGTCATGGAGTTCCACAAGGTTCTGTACTTGGACCAATGCTATTTACTTTATATATGCTCCCTTTAGGCAACATTATTAGGAATCACTCCATTAACTTTCACTGTTATGCAGATGATACGCAGTTATATCTATCGATCAAGCCCGATGAAATTAATCATATATCTAAATTACAAACATGTCTTAAGGACATAAAATCCTGGATGAGCTGCAATTTTCTGATGTTAAACTCAGAAAAAACAAAATTCTTGTACTTGGCCCCAAAAACGCTCCAATTAATTCAAAACGCTGCAGCACGAGTACTGACAGGAACTAGGAAAAGAAATCACATCTCTCCTGTACTAGCTTCTCTGCACTGTCTTAGTTATGCTGCTATAGGCCTAGACTGATCAAATAGACAGTGAGTGGTGGAGACACAGCGCCCCCTGGTGGCCACTGCTGATTAAAACCTCCTGCTCTATAAACTGACAGTATGTTTCATATTGATCACTATCAATAATAGCAGCTGATCAGTTACTGATCAATGAACCAAACAGTGAACTCAATAAGTGCAGGAAGTTTGATTATTTCCTTATTTTTAGGGATTTTGTCTGTATTATGGATTTTTAACAATCACATCCTCCTGGATATATTCTTAAATCACTGACCCCTGTGCAGCTCTGGTGACCCCTGTGGAGGTCCCGACCCTCAGGTTGGTAAACATCCTGAATCAGGTTGTAACTTTATAATATTGACTGCAGCTGTTAGTGATCTGAGACGATCAATAACCTCAGAATCCACTCAGTGATTGACAGTCAGCGCACTGGGCACACTGGAGCTCTATTGGCTGCAGACAGACCACCTGTCTTACCTGTCTGTGTGTCATTAGGAGACAGCGACAGGTCGCTGTGGAGGTCAGAGGTCAGCGTACCGATTGGCTCCGCCATCAGGTCCCCCACGGTAACCGAGCCCTTATTGTTCGCTTCGAAACTGACTTCTGACACATCTGGAAGAGACAGAGATGTGTGATTTTCTCCCATCATGCAACACTGTGGGAACTTGACTGTTTGCCCTCAGCTGCGTCTGAAGGCATCGTACCTGCACACTGACTGATCTGTCCAGGTGAGGAGGTCTGACCTCTCCGGCCTGCCGTACTCTTCCTGTAACTCTTGGGATTTGTAGTCCGATCATCTCTCACCTCCCCCACGCTCACCTCCTCCTCCTCCTCCTCCTGATCCCTCCCCCAGGAGCCCTGAGGACACAGCAGTGTGTGTGTGTGTGTGTGTGTGTTTGTGAGAGTGTGTGAGAGTGTGTGTGTGAGTGTGTGTGTGTGTGAGAGTGTGTGTGTGTGTGAGTGTGTACCTCTGGCTGTGGTCTCTCTCCCCTGTGTGTGTGTGTGACTCCCTGCTCCATCTTGGTCAGCAGGGTCAGCAGGAGGTCGTGACCTCTGACCTGTCCTTCACTGGGGGGGTCAAAGTCCTGGAGGGACAGGAAGTGACAAAACAGACAAACAGGAAGTATTACAGAGTCAGTCGCTTTATTGGTGAGGAAGATCAGCCAAATGAAAACAATGAACACACTAAAGTGCTCAGAAAATGTAATTTATTACTCAGTACTCTTCTCAAAAGTAATCTGGTTAGCTATTGTTAGCTTACATTAGCTATTGTTAGCTTACATTAGCTATTTATGGCAAATAGTTAGCTTACATTAGCTATAGTTATATACCATGTAATCAATCTGCGTCTAAAACAGATCAAATAAAAGTTAGTTTTCAGTTTCTCTCCTTGATAACAAACTTAAGTTCGCTGTCAGTCTCTGTTGTTAACCAGCACATTCACCTCAACAACAACAACACATCTCTATCTCTATAGATCTACTGTCTCTATAGATCTACTCTCTATATCTACCGACTCTATAGATCTACTGTCACTCTATATCTACCGACTCTATATCTACTGTCACTCTATAGATCTACTTTCTCTATATGACTCTACAGTCTACTCTCTATAGATCTACCGTCACTCTATATCTACTGACTCTATAGATCTACTGTCTCTATAGATCTACTGTCACTCTATATCTACCGACTCTATATCTACTGACTCTATAGATCTACTGTCTCTATAGATCTACTGTCTCTATAGATCTACTGTCACTCTATATCTACCGACTCTATAGATCTACTGTCTCTATATCTACTGACTCTATATCTACTGACTCTATATCTACCGACTCTATAGATCTACTGTCTCTATATCTACCGACTCTATATCTACTGACTCTATAGATCTACTGTCTCTATAGATCTACTGTCTCTATATCTACCGACTCTATATCTACTGACTCTATATCTACCGACTCTATAGATCTACTGTCTCTATATCTACCGACTCTATATCTACTGACTCTATAGATCTACTGTCTCTATAGATCTACTGTCTCTATATCTACCGACTCTATATCTACCGACTCTATAGATCTACTGTCTCTATATATCTACTGACTCTATATCTACTGTCTCTCCTGTCTCTATATCTACTGTCTCTGTATCTACTGTCTCTATATCTGCTGTCTCTATATCTACTGACTCTATATCTACTGTCTCTGTATCTACTGTCTCTGTATCTACTGACTCTATATCTACTGACTCTATATCTACTGTCTCTGTATCTACTGTCTCTATATATCTACTGACTATATCTACTGTATCTACTGTCTCTCCTGTCTCTATATCTACCGACTATATCTACTGTCTCTATATCTACTGTCTCTGTATCTACTGTCTCTATATATCTACTGACTATATCTACTGTCTCTATATCTACTGTCTCTGTATCTACTGTCTCTATATCTACTGTCTTTATATCTACTGTCTCTATATCTACTGACTCTATATCTACTGACTCTATACCTACTGACTCTGTATCTACTGACTCTATATCTACTGTCTCTATATCTACTGTCTCTACTGTCTCTATATCTACTGTCTTTATATCTACTGACTCTATATCTACTGACTCTATACCTACTGACTCTGTATCTACTGACTCTATATCTACTGTCTCTATATCTACTGTCTCTACTGTCTCTATATCTACTGTCTCTATATCTACTGTCTTTATATCTACTGTCTCTATATCTACTGTCTCTATATCTACTGTCTTTATATCTACTGTCTCTATATCTACTGTCTCTATATCTACTGTATCTATATCTACTGTCTCTATATCTACTGTCTTTATATCTACTGTATCACTATATCTCCTGTCTCTATATCTACTGTCTATATCTACTGTCTCTATATCTGCTCTCTCTATATCTACTGTCTTTATATCTACTGTCTCTAATATCTCCTGTCTCTATATCTACTGTCTCTACTGTATCTCCTGTCTCTACTGTCTCTCCTGTCTCTATATCTACTGTCTCTATATCTACTGTCTCTATATCTACTGTCTCTATATCTACTGTCTCTATATCTACTGTATCTACTGTCTCTCCTGTCTCTATATCTACTGTCTCTATATCTACTGTCTTTATATCTACTGTCTCTATATCTACTGTCTCTATATCTACTGTATCTACTGTCTCTCCTGTCTCTATATCTACTGACTATATCTACTGTCTCTATATCTACTGTCTCTACTGTCTCCATATCTACTGTCTCTGCTGTCTCTACTGTTTCTACTGTGTCTATATCTACTGCAGTATTGATACATGTTCCTGCTCCTCACCATCTCCTGCAGCTCCTGGAGGGAACTGGAAAAACTGCAGACAGCCTCCTCCTCTGAGAGACAGACAGACAGACAGACAGAGAGAGACAGGCAGAGAGAGAGTTTAAATTATGTCAGTTTCACAGATTAATGATTTTAGAGTGAATTTTAAAGTGAAATGTTTCTTTGATGAGTTGAGAGAAGGTGTGGGAGTGTTGATGATGATGATGAAGATACCTGTCATGGCTGCCAGCTGGTTGACACTGATGAGCAGCTCTCCCTCTGAGATGTGTTTGAGTGCTGCATCAGTCCCTGCTGTCACCACACTGCTGCTGCTACTGGAGCTACTGGAGTCCTCTGAGGAGGAGGAGGAGGAGGAGGAGGAGGAGGAGGCTGGTCTGGGAAGAGGAGGAGGAGACGGGGAGGGAGCTGCAGGGATGGAGGGAGGAGGAGGAGGAAGAGGGGAGGAGAGAGGAGGCTCCTCCTCTGCTACTGACATCACCCTGCAGGAGGAGGACTAACAGTCAGTAAACTGTACCAGACTCCATTCATTTTTCAGCTGATTTAATTTCTGCAACAACACATACATAATAATTATAGATCCTGTGAGACAGTCTGCAACTATTGATTGTTTTTATTATGAATTAATTGTATTAGTCGTCATAACTGACTTCAATATGTAACATTTTTAAATGTCTTGTTTTCTTCAACCAGAATCTAAATATGACAAAAACTTCACAACTTAAACAGTCAATCAATTATTCAAATGGATACTAGTTAGCCAGCCCCCAGTAGCCGGTGCGGTCTGACCGAAGGTAGCTTCTGCTAGCCGTCCCCTGGTAGTTCCCCCGGTAGTTCCCGAGCAGCCGGGAAGACAGGGAGGCTGGGTGACTGAGCGAAGGAAGACTAAAACGGCGAAGCCCACAGTTCACCACCAACCCATTCACGTTTCTAATACATTTTCCCCACTCAGCGACACACCCGCTGAGGAACCAACTCTGGTTATTGGCAGCTCCATAGTCAGAAACGTGAAGTTAGTGAAGCCAGCGGCCATAGTTAAATGTATCCCTGGGGCCAGAGCGGGCGACATTGAATCAAATTTAAAACTGCTGGCTAAAGGTAAACGTAAATACAGTAAGATTGTTATCCACGTCGGCGGTAATGACACCCGATTACGCCAATCGGAGGTCACTAAGATTAATGTGGAGTCGGTGTGTAATTATGCTAAAACAATGTCGGACTCCGTAGTTTTCTCTGGACCCCTGCCCAATGTGACCAGTGATGACATGTATAGCCGCATGTCGTCATTCCACCGCTGGCTGTCGAGGTGGTGTCCAGCAAACGATGTGGGCTTCATTGATAACTGGAAGCCTTTTTGGGGAAAACCTGGTCTGATTAGGAGAGACGGCATCCATCCCACTTTGGATGGAGCGGCTCTCTTATCTAGAAATATGGCAAAGTTTATTTCTAAAACCTGACAGTCCAGAGTTGGGACCAGGAAGCAGAGCTGCTGTCTTACACACTTCTCTGCTCTTTCTTTAGAACCGTCACCCACCCAAAACCCAATAGAGACTGTGTCTGTCCCCCGACCACCTAAATTATTTAAAGAAATAAAAACAAGAGGAGTTCAACATAAAAATCTAATAAAAATTAAAACTAACTCCTCAGTAGCACAAAATAAGAGAATGAAATGTGGGCTGTTAAATATCAGGTCTCTGTCCTCTAAAGCTGTTTTAGTGAATGAATTAATATCAGATTATGATATTGATTTACTTTGTCTTACGGAGACCTGGTTGTCCCACGAGGAGTATGTTAGCCTAAATGAATCCACCCCCCCAGTCATATTAATACTCACATTCCTCGAGGCACTGGCCGAGGAGGTGGAGTAGCAGCTATATATGATTCGAGCGTTTTAATGGACCCTAAACCTAAAACTAAATTATAATTCATTTGAAAGCCTTGTTCTTAGTCTTTCTCACCCAAACTGGAAAACACTGCAGCCAGTTCTATTTGTTATAGTGTACCGTGCTCCTGGACCGTACTCTGATTTTATATCTGAATTTTCAGAGTTTCTATCAAGCTTAGTCCTTAAATCAGATAAAGTAATTATTGTAGGTGATTTTAATATTCATGTGGATGTTGACAATGACAGCCTTAGTAATGCATTTATATCATTAATAGACTCAATTGGCTTCTGTCAGAGTGTAAATAAACCAACTCATTGTTTTAATCACACTCTTGACCTTGTTTTATCATATGGCATTGATATTGAACATTTAATAGTCTTCCCACATAATCCTTTCCTATCTGACCATTATTTAATAACTTTTGAATTCATACTATTAGATTATAAGCCATTAGGCAAAACTTCCTACAGCAGATGTCTATCTGACAGTGCTGTAGCTAAATTTAAGGAGGAGATTCCTTCAGTGTTTAATTCAATGCCATGTCTGAATTTAACAGAGTCCTATAACGACTTTAGTCCCTCCGAAATTGATAATCTTGTCAATAGTGCTGCAGGATCAACATTAGACTCTATCGCTCCTATAAAAAGGAAATTATTAAAACATAGGAGACTAGCACCGTGGTATAACCACCAAACCCGCCAGTTAAAACAAATAGCTAGGAAATCTGAAAGGAAATGGCGCTCTTCCAAATTATCAGAATATCGCTCAAATTGGCAAGATAATCTTAAAACTTATAGAACGGCCCTCCGTAATGCCAGAGGAGCCTATTACTCAGCACTAATAGAAGAAAATAAGAATAACCCTAGGTTCCTCTTCAGCACTGTAGCCAGGCTGACAGAGAGTCACAGCTCTATTGAACCACATATCCCCATAAACTTAAGTAGCAATGACTTCATGAGCTTCTTCTATAATAAAATTATTACTATTAGAGAGAAAATTAATCACCAACTGCCATCAACAGTTATCAGTGGCTCTCCAAGTTCAGGGACTTTTGCTAATGTAAACTTAGATATATAGACTGTTTTTCTGCTATCGATCTTCATCAGTTAACTTCAATAATTTCTTCATCGAAGCCGACAGTTGTTCCCTTAACTGGCACTTCTTTACTGGATATGATTAATCTTTCTTTATTATCAGGATATGTACCACAGTCCTTTAAAGTAGCTGTAATTAAACTCCTTCTTAAAAAGCCCACTCTTGACCCAGGGGTTTTAGCCAACTATAGACCAATCTCTAACCTCCCCTTCCTCTCTAAGATTCTGGAGAAAGTAGTCGCCAAAGAGTTGTGTGACTTTCTACATAACAATAGTTTATTTGAGGATTTTCAGTCAGGATTTAGAGTTCATCACAGCACAGAGACAGCTCTGGTTAAAGTTAATAATGACCTTCTGATTGCTTCTGACAATGGACTTGTCTCTGTACTTGTATTATTGGATCTTAGTGCTGCATTTGACACCATTGACCATAATATTCTTTTACAGAGACTTGAGCATCAAATTGGCATTAAAGGAACCGCACTAAGCTGGTTTAAGTCATACTTATCAGATTTTTGTTTGTACATGTTAACGATGAATCTTCAATAAATACTACAGTTAGTCATGGAGTTCCACAAGGTTCTGTACTTGGACCAATACTATTTACTTTATATATGCTCCCTTTAGGCAACATTATTAGGAATCACTCCATTAACTTTCACTGTTATGCAGATGATATGCAGTTATATCTATCGATCAAGCCCGATGAAATTAATCAATTATCTAAATTACAAACATGTCTTAAGGACATAAAATCCTGGATGAGCTGCAATTTTCTGATGTTAAATGAGAAAAAAATAAAATTCTTGTTCTTCTCTCTTGTTGAGACTCACTGTCTAAAGATATAGTTACTCTAGAAGGCATTACCTTGGCCTCTAGCACCACTGTCAGGAATCTTGGAGTTATCTTTGATCAGGATTTGTCTGTTAACTCCCACATGAAGCAGATCTCTAGGACTGCCTTCTTTCATTTATGTAATATTACAAAAATTAGACACATACTATCACAGACAGATGCATAAAAACTAATCCATGCATTTGTTACTTCAAGGCTGGATTACTGCAACTCTTTATTATCAGGCTGCCCTAATAAGTCCATTAAAACGCTCCAATTAATTCAATTAATTAACGCTGCAGCACGAGTACTGACAGGAACTAGAAAAAGAGATCACATCTCTCCTGTACTAGCTTCTCTACATTGGCTCCCTGTAAAATGTAGAAAAGAATTTAAAATCCTCCTCCTCACCTATAAAGCTCTTCATGGTCAGGCCCCTTCATATCTTAAAGAGCTCATAGTACCCTATTACCCCTCTAGAACACTACGTTCTCCGAATGCTGGGCTACTTGTGGTTCCTATAGTCTCTAAAAGTAGAACAGGAGCCAGAGCCTTCAGTTACCAAGCTCCTCTCCTGTGGAACCAGCTTCCAGTTGCAGTTAGGGAGGCAGACACCCTCACCACATTCAAGAGTAGGCTTAAGACATTCCTCTTTGATAAAGCTTATAGTTAGGGCTGGATCAGGTGAGTCCTGAACCATCCCTTAGTTATGCTGCTATAGGCCTAGACCAGGGGTGCCCATTACGTCGATCGCGATCTAACGGTCGATCGCAAAGGTGGTGTGGGTAGATCGGCATTAAAAAAAAAAAAAAATAGACGTCAGCCTATCATCCATTCTAACGTCTGACTGTTTGTGACATACCGATCAGCTGTCACTTGATTGACATACATGACAACCATTCGAACGTCTGACCGTTTCTGACACACCGGTCAACAGGTTACTATGGCAGTTAACGTTAATTATGGCAACATTCCAGCAAGCTAGCGAGTTGCCCAGTTAACCTAACTTATTTCTATAGTACTAAGCTTAAGAAATTATATAAAAATGAGTGGGGGAGCTGGACCAAGTAAAAAGACCAAAACCTACCACTTCCATACGGAATGGATACTTCCGAAGAAGGGAAATGTGGAGCGGCATTTTCGGACTATACATAAAAGCTACGACTCTGACTTTCCACCAAAAAGCGAACTGAGAAGGAAAAAGGTGAAAGAACTAAAATCCCAGTTGTCCGGACAGCAGGCCTTTTTCTCAAAGCTTAGCACAAAAGCGAAGACCGCCACCGAAGCATCATTCCGGGTGAGTCACGTCCTCGTTAAAAATAAGAAATCCTTCCAAGACGGAGAGATGATAAAAGAGGCATTCGTTGAAGCGGCTGAATCATTGTTTCAAGACTTTAAAAACAAACCAGAGATAGTATCTTCAATCAAAGCTCTCCAGCTGTCAAGAAGTACAGTTACACGTCGCTGTGAAGCAATGGCCGAGGATGTAACCCAGAAACTTTGGCAGGATATAGCGGACTGCGAGTGTTTCTCACTGCAATTGGATGAGTCTACAGACGTTAGTGAAAGCCCAGTTGTGCATTTTTATTCGTATGGTGTTTACCGATATGATTGCAAAAGAGGAGCTGTTAACAGTGGTGCCATTGAAAGAACACACGCGGGGAGAGGACATTATCAGTCTTTTAAAAACTTTATTGAGAAAACTCAGCTCCCAGTGTGGAAATTGGTGTCCATCACCGCGGACGGTACACCCGCGATGATTGGCCGCTCGAATGGATTTATTGCCAAGTGCAGGGAGGATGATGCCTTCCCCAACTTCCTCAATTACCACTGCATAATACACCAACAAGCGTTATGCGCAAAAATGCTGAACATGAAAGAGATAATGGATGTGGCAATGAAGATCGCCTGCTCTATTCGCGCCAGATCTCTTCAAAGACAGCTGTGTGCATCTGGAGAAGGCAGACTGCGACCACACTGAATTGTTGCTTGTGATGGCCCAAGCCACACAGGGTAACAGCCAGCAATGAGGTCTGTCCTGGTGGAAGAAAGGCGTGGCCAAGGGTGGAGGATGGTTATATCCTGTGGCCTACCAATCAAGCCGTACCATGTGCTGCCATGTTGGAGGGGGATTTTGGGTTTAGTTTGTTTTACTTGTAGGAGTTGTAGTTGGCATCCATTTTGTTTTCACCTTGTGGGTAAATTGGTTTGGCCAAGCCACTATATATGTTCCCTTGTGTCTCATTCAGGCAGGTCAGTTTGTTTAGTTCATATTCTGTCTGTTGTATGCTGTTTTGAGTATAGTTATATTTTGTTGACCTCTTTTAAGATGTTAAATTCTTGGTTTCTATTGTTTGGTATTTTTGGGTAAATAAAAAAACCCTATTTTTCAACAAACTCCTGGTTTTCCTCATTGCTTGACTGTTTGGTCTGTTTGGTTGTTTTGGCTACTAGTCTTAGCATTTTTAACCGATCTGACCAACATGTTGAATGACCTCAATGTTGAGCTGCAAGGAAAAGACAAAACAGTGGTCAATATGATCAGCTCAGTTAATGCGTTCAAACAAAAAATGCAACATCTGGGCTCAAAGCTGCAGCGCCATGATTTGGCAAACTTTCCAGAACCTCGTATCAGAACTGGAGAGGCAAGGGAAGGCCTGTGCACAACTTGACAGTGGACACTACACAGAGCAGATTGAAAACCTTCTGTCAGACTTTAACAAACGGTTTCAAGACTTTGCTTTATTGGAGCTAGTCGCTACATTCATGTGCTACCCATTTCGGGAGGATGCTGATGTTGATTTACTCGCATCAGAAATTGCAACACTGTTTAACCTGAACTCGTCTGGAGTGGAGGATGAGATCCTGACACTACAAGCTGACATTGAGCTCAAGTCCAGGGCTCATGGACAGTTTTGGAACTTACTCACAGAGGAAAAGTACCCCAACATGAGGAAATGTGCTACCTCCTTGACTGCATTATTCGGCTTTACTTATTTATGTGAGTCAGCCTTTTTCCCACATGAAGATTATCAAGTCCAAATACCGTTCCACTATGACTGATTATCATTTGGAAGTGTGCTTGAGGCTGGCTATCAGCAGCTACTGTCCGGACTATGCATCCCTGGCTGACTCCATTCAGTGCAAGTCATCAGCGTGAGGTATGTACTCAGTATATATGATTAAATACATTTATTTGTAATGACACTTAACTTAAATGAGACACAACATAAAGTGCTTGTCCACCTCAGCCACTTTTTACATACCATCTAGCCGGCAGGTGTCTGGGGTTTGGTTATTAGTACAGATGTTGGGTTGAAACACGGTAAGGGAAATTGTATTATGTTTGCATTTGTGTTACATTAGATCTGGAAGGAACATTTTCCATTTGATTAATTTGTGTGTTTCTCACCTCTTGTCTAGATTGCACCCAGGAACTGTCAAACCAGTCCCCGCCCAGGTGGACTCCTTTTATGGTCAAGTTCCTTGGGGAATGTGCCAAGTGTAATATAGATGAGGAGGAGATTTAGGAGGTGTTTCGGAGAATTGTGATTTTTTTAGATTTTGAACAGTTGGCATCTATTTTACTCTTTTGATATGTGTTGTGAGTTCTTTCTACTGTTATACTTATAAAACTTAACTATTGTGTATTAAATAAATTAATGTGTTATTGTTATCTTAATTGTTGCATCCTGTGGTAGGAGGAGGTTGCCAGGGGCCCCAGTTTAAAAGGGGTATAGAGATCAGAGTTGAGGTTATTTTTGATACCTCTAGTTACCTTTTTCCTAAGTTGTTTCCATTCGTTTTCATTTTTATTAGGGACCGAGCCAGCGACAGCGACCGCAAGGTCCCTATGTATTGCCCGTTTCTTATTATTATTTTTAGCCCCCATTGACTGCGATTTTGCCCCCTGAACATATACGAAAAGTCAATTTTATTTGGCAAAGTATTCAGGTCTGGTGAAAATGGGGAGTTTACATGTGCGCTTTGGGTCTGCCACTAGGTGGCGCTACCATCATAAAAAGCGTTGAGGCTAATAACTTCTGCATCGTTTGTCGCACATTCAAAAAACTTACATCCACGTGTTCGGTGAATGGAGCTGAATCTCCCCATATAAGCCCCGCCCACTTCCGCCTAGAATTTTTTTCTAGAGCGCAAAATGTCCTTGAACTACTTTTCGGGTTCCTCCTACACGCTTTGTCTGATTCGCACAAATTTTTCACCTAGCACCTGGGGACCGCCCTGGCAAAAAAGTAATTGGAACCTTTTGAAATTTAAAAAAAAAGCACCTATAAAATTAGCACTTCCTGTGGAATTTTCATCTAAAAGGTAGTGCACCATTTCTCCACATTGGTATGTCCGATTGACACCAAACTTGGGTCCATAGTTCCAGGTGTCTTCCTTAAGCATCGTGCACAATTTCAGGCCATCAGCACTAGGTGGCGCTCTTTAAAATGAAGACATTTATATCTCTACAACGGTATGTGTGATTAAGATGAAACTTGGTACGATGCTTCCCCATGGCTCCCTGAGGCTCCCTTAAAAGGACAAAAAAACGCCACTAGGTGGCGCCTTGGCATGAAAAGTCACTGTACGGACACCGTAATAGTTATGAATATGAAATTCACAGGGTACGTGTAGAGTAGTGCCTGAAGCTCACATATCAAAAATCGTGTTTGTCCTGTGTGTAGCGCCCCCTACAGGATAAATAAACAGCAGCCCCGGCGCCACGTTTCACCGATATGTACGAAACTCGGTAGGCCCGTTTAGAATGCCGGGACGTACAAAAAAGTCCTCTTGGACCCATACCCCAAACCCCACAGGAAGTCGGCCATTTTGATTTAAAGTTTCACTTTCGGCGAACTTTTCGCGTTTTATTTGAACGAACTCCTCCTAGGGAATTTATCAGATCTGCTTCAAAATTTGTCAGTACAGTCAAAAAATGGTGCTGATTAAAAGTTGTGCTATTTGTGCATGTACGTTGAAGGGCGTGTCCGTGGCGTGGCATCAAAGTCAGCCATTTAGATTTTTTTGGTCATTTTCTGTGATTTTTCGCGTTGTATTTGAACGAACTCCTCCTAGGCAATTTATCGGATCTACTTCAAATTTAATCAGCGCAATCTAAAGACATTCATGATTAAAAGTTGTGCTATTTACGACATTCCGTCAAACGGCGTACCCGTGGCGTTGCGTTGAATTTCGACCATTCACCATAAACAGATAGTACTCAACTTCAGTGTACAGTCCCACCCTGAACACGTCCTCATAACTTCAGCGTACATGATCCAATCTCAATGAAACTTCACGTGTTTGATAACAGTCCCACCCTGAACACGTCTACATGACAATATTAAGAAATAGTGATCGCGCCACCTTCCGACAACAGGTGCTAAGCACTGCGTTGCGATTTTGAGCTGATTTACGTGAAATGACCGTGCCAGTGACGACTTGTCAAATTCAGTGGATTCGCCATGAAATACCACTCATAACTTCAGTGTGCAATGTCCAATCTCCAGTGAACTTCATATATTCTGTAACAGTCTCGCCCGTAACACGGCCTCGTAACTTCAGCGTACGTGGTCCAATCTCAATGAAACTTAAGGTGTGTTACAACAGTCCCGCCCTGAACTTGTCTACATGACAATATTAAGACATAGTGATAGCGCCACCCACCGGCAACAGGAAGTAAGCGCTGTGTGGCGATTTTGAGCTGATTTACGTGACATTTTCATGTTGTGGTCCCCACGTGTTACGACGGCACGCGACGCGGCCGCAGCACGCCCGAATGGGTGGAGGCGAGGTCCCGCTCAACGCTGCTTGCAGCTTTAATTTTTGTTTGTTGTTTTCTCTTCAGTTTGGGCCAAGTTGACCCTCACTGTAAATAAGCTGCACTGATCCACTGTTTGGAAAAAAAGGGAAATAAAAATTTGGACTGACTGAACAGTTTCAAGGTCCCCTTCTTCCTGCCTTCACTTATGTTTAGCAGTTTTTAATGTAGGTAGATCAGTTTGACCAGGTCATTTTGAAAGTAGCTCTGAAGCCGAAGAAGTGTGGGCATCCCTGGTAGACTATCGGGGGGATTTCCCATGGTGCACTGAGCTCCTCCCTTCCTCTCTCTTTCTGCACTCCTTCATGTCCCATTAATGCATGTTACTAACTTCACTTCTTCCCCGGAGTTCTTGTGCTTTCTCGTCTCGCAGGTTCTCATCGATCCTGGTGGAGCCTCCTGCCATGGTCCTGCTAGATTGCCATTACCAATACTGTTGTTGCTGTGCACCTGTCTGTCTGTCTGTCTGTCTGTCTGTCTCTCTCTCTCTCTCTCTCTCTCTCACCCCAACTGGTCGAGACAGACGACCACCCACCTAGAGCCGGAGGATCTGTCCTAGGTTTCTGCCTTTTAACAGGCAGTGTTTCCTTGCCCTTGTCTCCAAGGTCTTGCTCATGGTGGTACTGTTGGGTCTCTGTAAATAATGTTTTAAAGAGTTCGGTCTAGACCTGCTCTATTTGAAAAGTGTCCTGAGATAACTTCTGTTATGAATTGGCGCTATACAAATAAAATTGAATTGAATTGAATTGAATTGATCAATAAATCGAATGACTGTCTCAGTGCTAATGAGTCTGTGTGCTCAAACTGCACAAACACTGGATCCTACATTTCCCACAATGCACCTGCCCCTTGCCTGGTAAACAGGTGTGTGGACGTGTACATACAGCGGCTGTGTGTCTGGATCCATATGTTCCTCTGGTCTCTCCTCATCCAATGGCAGCTCAGCGTCTCCCCAGGTGAGAGGGGGCGGGGCTTGATGAACAACAGGAGGACTTCCTGCAGAGTGGGCGGGCTCTGGGCTGGGGGTGGGCGTGGCTACAGCCTCTGAGGTCACAGTCAGAAAAAGAGTTAATGCTAATGCTAATACTGCTAATTCTATAGTAAAAGTACAGTTAATACTGCTGCTGCTAATGCTAACACTACTATTAGTACTGCTGCTAATGCTAATGCTACTATTAGTACTGCTGCTAATGCTAATGCTACTATTAGTACTGCTGCTAATGCTAATGCTACTATTAGTACTGCTGCTAATGTTAATGCTAACACTACTATTAGAACTGCTGCTATTGCTAATGCTAACACTACTATTAGAACTGCTGCTAATGCTAATGCTAACACTACTATTAGTACTGCTGCTAATGCTAATATAGCTACTGCTAATGCTAATGCTGCTGTGTCTAACCTGCTGCTGTGATTGGCTGAGGAGAATCCTGGTCCAGCAGGCTCGTTGGGTCAGAGGGAGGGGGCGTGGTTAGAGGCGGAGTCTCTCTGCTGGGCGGCTTTGGGCTGGGTGGAGGTGTCGGTACTGGTGTAGGAACCGGTGGAACCAGTTCCTCCTGGATCAGAACCAGCAGCAGGATTCAGACAGACTGAAAACTGAAGACTGAAGTTTGATTTGATTTGAGTTTTTGTACCTCCTCATGTGCTCCTGGACCTGGTTTTGGCACTTCCAGTCCTGGCTCTTGTGTGTCTTTGTGTCCCAGCATCAGGGCAACGTGCTCGGTCAGAACCTCATCGACCAGCTGCCGGATCAGAGCCGAGTCAACTGACACGTTTGAGTCTACGAACAGCTGCAGACCTGCACCGCCTGCTGCCTCCACTGAGCACACACAGCACAAAGTAATGAGCAGGACAACCAACAGCCCGTTAGCGGCAGCGATTTCAATAAAGTTTAAAGAAAAAACAGGCGATCAGAGGTTAGGGTTAGATGATGATCAATAATACTGATTGTAGGGCTGCTCGATTATGGAAAAAATCATAATCACTGTTATTTGGGTCAAAATTGAAATCCCGATTATTCAAGCGATTATTTTTTTAAACTTCAGAAACATGCTGCATTTATTGGACATTTGTCAAAAACACTTTGCCAGGAAGTCCTCAGTTACACTTTCCTTTCCCCATAAACATTTGTAAGTCTCCTCGTTACCTGTCCAAAGACGGCAACTAGTGTCGCGACCACCGGCGCAAGTATAAATAGTTACGGCGCTCCTGTGACTTCACATTGTCGCGCGACAGGTCGGGAACGGCGAGTATACCGAGCGCATGACGTGCAGTGCTTGCTGCGGGGGAGGGACGGAAAATACGCATGTGCGAAATACGCAGACTGTGGCTGCGTCCCAATTCAGGGACACAGCTTTTTTCTATACAACGTTGCACAACAGAAAATGAAAGAGAAATCGTTTCCCTCCGATTTTATTAGTTTTGAGATCGTTTGACCCCAAAATCGTAATCATGATCACATTTCGATTAATTGAGCAGCCTTAACTGATTGCATCCTGTATTGACACTTTGTAATGAATGAAGTCTGTCTGTTTGCACTGCAGTCATCTGATATAACGTTTCAAATCTTAATGCTAACGTTGGGTCAGAACTCACCAATGTCTGAGGTGACGCTGCGCTCCTCGGACTCTGATTGGTTGGTGGAGTCGTTCTGGGCGGGGTCAGAGGGAGGGGGGCGGTACATCTCTGAGATCATCCTGGACATCAGCTGCTGCTCCACCCTGGAACCCCAGACCCAAACAGAACCACAACAGGCTGTCAGTGCCAACAGGATCCAGCTCAGACCAGTTCAGACCAGTTCAGACCAGCTCAGACCAGCTCAGACCAGTTCAGACCAGTTCAGACCAGTCAGACCAGTTCAGACCAGCTCAGACCAGTTCAGACCAGTTCAGTCTGGTTTCTCACCATTCCACCAGCCGGGTCTCCAGGGCGTCTCTCTGCAGGTTGAGGCCAATGATTGAGGCCTGGTCCTGGGCAGGGAGGGCAGGGAGGGCCTGGGGAGGAAAGACTGGACCCTGATACAGGACCGGAGGGGGAGAAGGACCTCCATCCACCTCCAGCACCTCCTCACCCACAACACATCCCTCTTGCTGCTCCTCTTCTTCCTCCTCCCCCTCCTGCTGCTGATGGAAGAAAGGAGAAGAACGTGAATTCATATGAAGGAATAATAATCAATACAATAATCAAAATAATAATCAATACAATAATCAATATAATAATCAATACAATAATCAATATAACAATATAATAATCAATATAACAATACAATAATCAAAATAATAATCAATACAATAATCAATACAATAATCAATATAACAATATAATAATCAATATAACAATACAATAATCAATATAATAATCAATATAACAATACAATAATCAATATAATAATCAATATAACAATATAATAATCAATACAATAATCAATATAACAATATAATAATCAATATAACAATACAATAATCAATATAATAATCAATATAACAATATAATAATCAATACAATAATCAATACAATAGGATATTGGAGTTATTGCAATATTCATATTTTATTATTTTCCTGCAGCGTCCAGCAGGGGGAGCTCTGAGACTGAGAGAGGAGGAGAGAGGAAGAGGAGGAGGAAGAGGAGAGAGCAGGAGAGAGGAAGAGGAGAGAGGAGCAGAGAGGAAGAGGAGGAGGAGAGAGGAGAGAGGAGAGAGGAGAGCGGAAGAGGAGAGCGGAAGAGGAGAGAGGAGGACAGGGAGGAGAGAGGAAGAGGAGAGAGCAGGAGAGAGGAAGAGGAGAGAGGAGGAGGAGAGAGCAGGAGAGAGGAAGAGGGAGAGAGGAGCAGAGAGGAAGAGGAGGAGGAGAGAGGAGAGAGGAGAGAGGAGAGCGGAAGAGGAGAGAGGAGAGCGGAAGAGGAGAGAGGGAGGACAGGGAGGAAAGAGGAAGAGGAGAGAGCAGGAGAGAGGAAGAGGAGAGAGGAGGAGGAGAGGAGGAGAGGGAGAGGAGAGAGGAGGGACAGGGAGGAGAGAGGAAGAGGAGGAGGAAGAGGAGAGAGCAGGAGAGAGGAGAGAGAGGAGGGAGAGAGGAGAGAGGAGAAGGAGAGAGGAGAGAGGAGGAGAGAGGAGAGAGGAAGAGGAGAGAGGAGGACAGGGAGGAGAGAGGAAGAGGAGGAGGAAGAGGAAGAGGAGAGAGAGCAGGAGAGAGGAAAAGGAGAGAGGAGGAGGAGGAGAGAGGAGAGAGGAAGAGGAGGAGGGAGAGAGGAGAGAGGAAGAGGAGAGCGGAAGAGGAGAGAGGAGGACAGGGAGGAGAGAGGAAGAGGAGGAGGAAGAGGAGAGAGCAGGATAGAGGAAGAGGAGAGAGGAGGAGGAGAGAGAGGAGGAGAGAGGAGAGCGGAAGAGGAGGAGGGAAGAGGAGAGAGGACAGGGAGGAGAGAGGGAAGAGGAGGAGGAAGAGGAGAGAGGAGTGAGGGAAGAAGAGGAGGAGAGAGGAGAGAGGGAGGAGAGAGGAGAGAGGAGGAGAGAGGGAAGAGGAGGAGGAGAGAGGAAGAAGAGGGAGGAGAGAGGGAGGACAGGGGAGGAGAGAGGAAGAGGAGGAGGAAGAGGAAGAGGAGAGAGCAGGAGAGAGGAGGAGAGGAAGAGGAGAGAGGAGAGAGGAAGAGGAGGAGGAAGAGGAGAGAGGACAGGGAGGAGAGAGGAAGAGGAGGACGAAGAGGAGAGAGGGAGTGAGGAAGAAGAGGAGGAGAGAGGAGAGAGGAGGAGAGAGGAAGAGGAGGAGGAGAGAGGAAGAAGAGGAGGAGAGAGGAGAGGAAGAGGAGGACAGCGAGGAGAGAGGAGGAGAGAGGAAGAGGAGGAGGAAGAGGAGAGAGGACAGGGAGGAGAGAGGAAGAGGAGGAGGAAGAAGAGAGAGGAGTGAGGAGAGAAGAGGAGGAGAGAGGAGAGAGGAGAGAGGAAGAGGAGAGCGGAAGAGGAGAGAGGAGGACAGGGAGGAGGGAGGAAGAGGAGGACAGCGAGGAGAGAGGAGGAGGAGTGAGGAAGAAGAGGAGGAGAGAGGAGAGAGGAGGAGAGAGGAGAGAGGAGGAGAGAGGAAGAAGAGGAGGAGAGAGGAGAGAGGAGGAGAGAGGAAGAGGAGAGAGGAAGGTTACCTGGATGATGTCAGCGACAGACAGGAAGTCAGTTCCAGGGAAGACGTTCTCTTCGTCCTCCTCTTCCTCATGCTTCCTCTCGATGATGTCAGCAGCAGGAGGAGGAGCCTCACCTGCACCCAGCTGCTGCGCCTCCTGCCAACACACAACCACCTGTCAGTGACCTCTGACCTCACGCTGTCTGCAGACGTTGTGTCGTCCAATCAGAAAGCTTTGACAGTGTAAACCAGCGGGGGGGGGGCTAACTGGAGTCAGACTCACCTGTGACTGTAGCTCAGAGGCTTCGTCGTCCACGGCAACCACACTAGATATGGGAGGAGCTGTGAGTGGTGATGTCACTTCCTGTTGACGCTCAGTGAGACACCTGGACGAGGAGTCCATCCTGGGACGACCTGATTGAATTTTATTTTGGAAAACAGCAGCAGGTTTGATTTTAATGCAACATTTCAAAATAAAACTCTAAAAAGACTTTTATTTGATAAATGTCTGTCAGGGATTTCTGGGTAATGGAGTCCGTATAGTAAAACTGAATAATAATATTGATGTCTGACCAAGTGGGATCGCCATGGGAACAAAGTCACTGTCTGGAGGGGTCACGATAAGGTCAGCGGGGTCACCAGAGGTCAGGTGGGAGGAGCTGATGATGTAATGGCGCTGAGGTCGTTGAGGTGACAGACTGAGGGGAGGAGCCAAACAGGTCTGAGTCTTACAGGACTTCACCTTCACACCTGATGGAGACACAGTTAGATACCTGAACCACTGACCCACAGCAGGAGCTCCCAGGGCTGGGCTCTGATTGGACAGTTCTGTTAATGATGGCCGACTTACTGGAAACATAGAGCTAACAAAGAGCTAACAAAGAGCTAACAAACAGCTAACACAGAGCTAACAAACAGCTAACACAGAGCTAACAAACAGCTAACACAGAGCTAACAAACAGCTAACACAGAGCTAACAAACAGCTAACATAGAGCTAACATAGAGCTAACAAACAGCTAACATAGAGCTAACATAGAGCTAACAAACAGCTAACATACAGCTAACACAGAGCTAACAAACAGCTAACACAGAGCTAACAAACAGCTAACATACAGCTAACATAGAGCTAACAAACAGCTAACATAGAGCTAACAAACAGCTAACATAGAGCTAACATAGAGCTAACAAACAGCTAACATAGAGCTAACAAACAGCTAACATAGAGCTAACATAGAGCTAACAAACAGCTAACATAGAGCTAACAAACAGCTAACATAGAGCTAACATACAGCTAACACAGAGCTAACAAACAGCTAACACAGAGCTAACAAACAGCTAACATACAGCTAACATAGAGCTAACAAACAGCTAACATAGAGCTAACAAACAGCTAACATAGAGCTAACATAGAGCTAACAAACAGCTAACATAGAGCTAACAAACAGCTAACATAGAGCTAACATAGAGCTAACAAACAGCTAACACAGAGCTAACAAACAGCTAACATAGAGCTAACAAACAGCTAACATAGAGCTAACATAGAGCTAACAAACAGCTAACATAGAGCTAACAAACAGCTAACATAGAGCTAACAAACAGCTAACATAGAGCTAACAAACAGCTAACAAACAGCTAACATAGAGCTAACATAGAGCTAACAAACAGCTAACATAGAGCTAACAAACAGCTAACATAGAGCTAACAAACAGCTAACATAGAGCTAACAAACAGCTAACATAGAGCTAACAAACAGCTAACATAGAGCTAACAAACAGCTAACATAGAGCTAACAAACAGCTAACATAGAGCTAGCTTGCACCTCTGACACTCTCCACCAGTCGGGGGCGGGGCTTCCTGCTGGCCGGTGAGGCAGGTGAGCTGAATCGCAGGTACGGGCTCTTCTTCAGGGTTCGTCTCAGACCTTCATACGGAGCTCTGCCGTACAGACGCGTCAGGTACGACTCTCCGTCCACCTCCACCTGCTCCCTCGCTCCTCCTGTGCGTCTGCCAGGCTCCGCCTCCTGCAACATGAGACAGAAGCCATGACATCACTCAATCAGTTACTTCCTCATCAAATCAATCGATCAGAAAAGAGCTCAGTCTGACCGGTCTGTGTCCAGATGTCTGTCCTCGGCTTCCTCTCCCTGCCGCTCTTTTACTTCCTGGTCCTCTGAGCGCGCTCACTGGCCTCCCCCTGCCAGCGGGGGCGGAGCTCCCAGCAGCCCTCTGCTGTGATGTCACTGTGGCGTCTCTGCTGGCTGAGGGTTTGTTCACAGCGTCGTCTGAGGAGATGTCAGCCTGAGGAGGAGGAGGAGCAGGAGCAAGAGAAGGAGAAGGAAGAGCATGAGGAAGAGGAGAAGGAGAAGGAAGAGGAAGAGGAGAAGGAGAAGGAGAAGAAGAGGAGAAGGAAGAGGAAGAGGAGAAGGAGAAGGAAGAGGAAGAGGAGGAGGAGAAGGAGGAAGAAGAAGAGGAGAAGGAGAAGGAAGAGGAAGAGGAAGAGGAGGAGGAGAAGGAGGAAGAAGAAGAGGAGAAGGAGGAGGAGGAGGAGGAAGAGGAAGAGGAGGAGGAGAAGGAGGAAGAAGAAGAGGAGAAGGAAGAGGAAGAGGAGGAGGAGAAGAAGAGTGTTTTTATAAACAGTCTATCCTGACAGTTACAGTCAGATTAGTGTCAGTCTGTTTTCCAGGTCTTTTCCAGGGGTTGCCTCCTGGAATCCAGGTGTTCCAGGTGTTCCAGGTGGTATGTGACCTGCTGAGCTCACCTGGATGTCTTTGGTCATCGTGCTGATCCAGGCATCGACTGTCTTCTTGATCCGAACCTCCTCAGTCCAGTCTCTGCAGAGGACAGAGGACACACACTGTAGAACTAATTTATAATGTTTAATAATGCATTGTATCTATTGTACCTGCTGTATCTATTGTACCTGCTGTATCTATTGTACCTATTGTACCTGCTGTATCTATTGTACCTGTTGTACCTGCTGTACCTGTTGTACCTATTGTACCTGTTGTACCTGTTGTACCTGCTATATCTATTGTACCTGTTGTACCTATTGTACCTGCTGTATCTATTGTACCTATTGTACCTGCTGTATCTATTGTACCTGCTGTATCTATTGTACCTGTTGTACCTGCTGTACCTGTTGTACCTATTGTACCTGCTGTATCTATTGTACCTGTTGTACCTGTTGTACCTATTGTACCTGTTGTACCTGTTGTACCTATTGTACCTATTGTACCTGCTGTATCTATTGTACCTGTTGTACCTATTGTACCTGTTGTACCTGCTGTACCTGTTGTACCTGCTGTATCTATTGTACCTGCTGTATCTATTGTACCTGTTGTACCTGCTGTATCTATTGTACCTGCTGTATCTATTGTACCTGTTGTACCTATTGTACCTATTGTACCTGCTGTATCTATTGTACCTGTTGTACCTGCTGTATCTATTGTACCTGTTGTACCTGCTGTATCTATTGTACCTGTTGTACCTGCTGTATCTATTGTACCTGTTGTACCTGCTGTATCTATTGTACCTGTTGTACCTATTGTACCTGTTGTACCTATTGTACCTGTTGTACCTGCTGTATCTATTGTACCTGTTGTACCTATTGTACCTGTTGTACCTATTGTACCTGCTGTATCTATTGTACCTGTTGTACCTGCTGTATCTATTGTACCTGTTGTACCTATTGTACCTGTTGTACCTGTTGTACCTATTGTACCTGTTGTACCTGCTGTATCTATTGTACCTGCTGTATCTATTGTACCTATTGTACCTGCTGTATCTATTGTACCTATTGTACCTGCTGTACCTATTGTACCTGCTGTATCTATTGTACCTATTGTACCTGCTGTATCTATTGTACCTGTTGTACCTGTTGTACCTGCTGTATCTATTGTACCTATTGTACCTATTGTACCTGCTGTATCTATTGTACCTGTTGTACCTATTGTACCTGTTGTACCTGCTATTGTACCTATTGTACCTGCTGTACCTATTGTACCTGCTGTATCTATTGTACCTATTGTACCTGCTGTATCTATTGTACCTGTTGTACCTGCTGTATCTATTGTACCTGTTGTACCTGCTGTATCTATTGTACCTGTTGTACCTGCTGTATCTATTGTACCTGCTGTATCTATTGTACCTGTTGTACCTGCTGTATCTATTGTACCTGTTGTACCTGTTGTACCTATTGTACCTGTTGTACCTGCTGTATCTATTGTACCTGCTGTATCTATTGTACCTATTGTACCTGCTGTATCTATTGTACCTATTGTACCTGCTGTACCTATTGTACCTGCTGTATCTATTGTACCTATTGTACCTATTGTACCTGCTGTATCTATTGTACCTGTTGTACCTGTTGTACCTGCTGTATCTATTGTACCTGCTGTATCTATCGTACCTGCTGTATCTATTGTACCTGTTGTACCTGTTGTACCTGCTGTATCTATTGTACCTGCTGTATCTATTGTACCTGCTGTATCTATTGTACCTGTTGTATCTATTGTACCTATTGTACCTGTTGTATCTATTGTACCTGCTATATCTATTGTACCTGTTGTATCTATTGTACCTATTGTACCTGTTGTATCTATTGTACCTGCTGTATCTATTGTACCTGCTATATCTATTGTACCTGCTGTATCTATTGTACCTGTTGTATCTATTGTACCTGCTATATCTATTGTACCTGCTGTATCTATTGTACCTGTTGTATCTATTCATACTTTGCAGTCACGTGATTACCATGGTTACCTGGCGGGCAAGAAACATATATATTTACATATATCCGTCACCTTACACCGCACAAAAAATTAAAGCCTACAAAAGTATGGATAGCTATCTTTTCTTCAAGAGTGGATGGGTTAACAACGCTGTCGTATGGGAGGTGAAAAACAGGAATATCTTCATAATCAAAGCAAACGTGAGTATTACTAGTTAGCTAGCTAACGTTACCCGCTAACGTTTGCTAATGTCTGCATGTCTGTAGCTATACACAAAGTGACATCTGTTCCGTCGTGTGATGAAGTCTTCATCTGAATATGTACACCCCGTCTGCCGCGAATGACAGCTTGAAAAGTAACATTAGTTTAAAAAACCTTATGCCAACTAGTCTGTATCATATATGGCTAACAGGATGTCAAACATTGTAGCCTACCTGCTCATCCACTCCACATAGCATCAGACAACAGACAAGAGCAGCTGGGGCAGCGAAATGCCTTTAATCCTGTTAGCAATCTGTTAGGTTGTAACGTTAATGTAGTAGTAATAACTGTACCATAGTAACGTTATGTATGCAAAGTAACTGTAAGTAAGTAAGTAAGTGAGTAGACGCAGTACAACAGTAACGTGTGTACTAACGTATTCTTCTTCTCATCATATATCAAATCACGTACACACACATATATATATATATATACTTTTGTATAGTAAAACTGGCGACGTCCTGGCAAGATCCTTGATTAGTTTACTGGGTTTCGTTGCTGGAGAACGATGTTCTTGCCCGCCAGCTAGTAGTTGTGACGTCACGTGCAAAGTATGAATTGTACCTGCTGTATCTATTGTACCTGTTGTATCTATTGTATCTATTGTACCTGTTGTATCTATTGTATCTATTGTACCTGCTGTACCTATTGTACCTGCTGTACCTATTGTACCTGTTGTACCTTATGCTGTATTTACCTATTGTACCTGTTGTACCTGCTGTATCTATTGTACCTGTTGTACCTCTTACCTTGTACCTGCTGTATCTATTGTACCTGTTGTACCTGTTGTATCTATTGTACCTGCTGTATCTATTGTACCTGCTGTATCTTGTACCTGCTGTATCTATTGTACCTATTGTACCTGCTGTATCTATTGTACCTGCTGTATCTATTGTACCTGCTATATCTATTGTACCTGTTGTACCTATTGTACCTGTTGTACCTGCTGTATCTATTGTACCTATTGTACCTATTGTACCTGCTGTATCTATTGTACCTGCTGTATCTATTGTATCTATTGTACCTGTTGTATCTATTGTACCTGTTGTACCTGCTGTACCTGTTGTACCTGCTGTATCTATTGTACCTGTTGTATCTATTGTACCTGTTGTACCTGCTGTACCTGTTGTACCTGCTGTACCTATTGTACCTGCTGTACCTGTTGTACCTGTTGTACCTGTTGTATCTATTGTATCTATTGTACCTGCTGTACCTATTGTACCTGCTGTACCTATTGTACCTGCTGTATCTATTGTACCTGTTGTACCTGCTGTATCTATTGTATCTATTGTACCTGCTGTACCTATTGTACCTGCTGTATCTATTGTACCTGCTGTACCTATTGTACCTGCTGTATCTATTGTACCTGCTGTATCTATTGTACCTGTTGTACCTGCTGTATCTATTGTACCTGCTGTACCTATTGTACCTGCTGTATCTATTGTACCTGCTGTACTATTGTACCTATTGTACCTGCTGTATCTATTGTACCTGCTGTATCTATTGTACCTGTTGTACCTGTTGTACCTGCTGTATCTATTGTATCTATTGTACCTGCTGTACCTATTGTACCTATTGTACCTGCTGTATCTATTGTACCTGCTGTATCTATTGTACCTGTTGTACCTGCTGTATCTATTGTACCTGCTGTATCTATTGTACCTGTTGTACCTGCTGTATCTATTGTACCTGCTGTATCTATTGTACCTGCTGTATCTATTTATTTTATTTTATATTTCTTATATTTTATATTTACATTAGTTTATATTTTCATTGTACACGTCAAACCTGTTCTGTACCTCCAGGGTTAGCATATTTACAAGTAATGTTAGCTACCTGTTGGAATCTCTCAGACATTTAGTTAATTCTAATGTTAGCTCTCTGCTACAAAAAACTATATATTTTGTGTTTGTTAGCAGATAAAGGTTAGCACTATGCGTTAGCCGTCATGAAGCCAGTTAGCAGGTTTAGCAACCCGTTAACATAGGCTGCTCTAAAAGAGAAAGTTAATGTTATCCATTGGTTACCTATTACTTACATTAACATGCACTTAGCATTAGCTATTACTAATTATTAGCTTATAATGACAATTAGTATTATAGAGGCTTTCGTTAGCAGACATAATATTAACATAAGATATGAGTTATTGTCAGTCATCAGTTAGCAGACAGTAAGCTAGCATTAGCTACCTGTTAGCAGCCAGTGCCTCCAGTTGGCAGTCCAGGACCTCTCCGGTTTTGGCTCTCAGCAGAGCCTCCAGGTTCTCCTCCAGAACCTTTTTCTGTCTCTGAACCTGACGGAGAACCTGACCCGCCTCCTCCAACATGGATCGAACCAGAGGCCTCCTCTGGACCAGTACGGACTGGGACTGCTGGGTCTGGACTTGTTGGGGCTCAGTTTGCTGGGACTTGGACTGGAAGTGGTTTGGTTCTAAGAGATTTTGTTGTTGGGACTGAAGCAGGTTTTGTTGGGGCTGGGTTTGTTGGGACTGGTTTTGTTGGAACTGGGACTGGGTTTGTTGGGACTGGTTTTGTTGGAACTGGAACTGGGTTTGTTGGGACTGGTTTTGTTGGAACTGGGTTTGTTGGGGCTGGGTTTGTTGGGGCTGGGTTTGTTGGGACTGGATGTGGATTGGTGGGGAGAGATTTTGTTGTTGGGGCTGAAGCAGGTTTTGTTGGTGCTGGTCTGGTCCAGGTCTGGTTGTCTTCAGAGAGTCTTCCGGCTGTTGGACGACAGAGAGTTTTTACAAACACCTGGGGCCTCATGTACTAAGACTTGCGTGGATTTCCTACTAGAATGTGGCGTACACTGAAAGAGTGAAAGTTCCGTGCGCACCAAAAAATTCAGATGTATCAAAACATGCGTATGCAGAATCCCACGCACATTGTCTTTGTACATCGCAATCAACATGAAATTGAGCGCACATGCACGAGCAAAACGCTCCACCCTGTCCCCTCCCTCAAATACACCGATTTGAATATGCTAATTAGTATAAATAGGCCTAGATAGTGCTGTCTTTAGGAAAATGGCAAAAGCCAGGAAAATAAATTTTGTGTGTGAATTGGAGGTGCTGCTGACGGAGGTAGAGGCCAAAAAAACATTTCATTTTGCGTGGCACAGGCAGTAAACTCGTTAGGGTCGGAGAACCGCACCGCAGCGGAGTTGAAAAAGAAGTCAGAGCCTTCAGGCCACAGGTGGTGGAGTCCCTGTATTACGGTAGACTGATATACTGTACTGCTGTATTGTGAAAGGGTTACGGTACGTACAAGACGTGACGTCACCACGCTCCCAGTGAGCGCTAGTTGTTGTTGTGTGTGAGCCATGCTGATGAGACGGTGGCACATCGGTCCGCACTTTATTGTTAATTGTTAAATAAATATGCCAAGAGGCTAAAGATAATTCAAGTGTGTTCTACTTATCCTCCATACGCAGTAGAGGACTGCGCGCTGCAGTAAATAACCCCTTAACACAAATAATCTGCAAATGATTTAAAATTGTTTAATTGCTTGATTGATTGTAAATAATAAAGACTTTCACATACAGTGCAACTGTCCTGAGAGCAATTGTTAATTTTGGCTATGCAATTTCAATGCATCGCCTGTGAGTGTCGCCAACTGACATAAGCAAAAAATATGTACGTACGCCAGCAATGAAGCTGCCGTGGAGGACCGCACATTCTCACGTTCATTTTACTTTTAGTACATCCGAACGTGAACGTGAAATATGGCATATGCACGAATTTTGTGCGTACGCAACGTTAGTACATGAGGCCCCAGGAGCATGCTGCAGTTTTAGATTCTTTCTCTATAATCAGAGTTTGACGCTCACCTTCAGCAGCATCTTCATCTCAGTCTTCAACCGTCCCATCTCCCTCAACATCTCATTGGCTCTCGTAGCCACTGCCTGACTGTGATTGGCCGAAGACAGCAGGTGACTTCCTGCAGCTGGCTGGGTTGCCGTGGAAACACTGGGAGCACCTTGGCAATACGGGTCATCTCTGAAAAAGAAGAAATACTTGTTTAGTCGACAAAATGAGAGAAAAAGGTTTCTCGGAGTCTCAGCTGACCTCTTCAAATGCCTCGTTATGTTTAACCAACAGTTGTTACAGAAACCTGAAGAAAGATGTATATTTGATTATTATTTTAATGACTAACCACTAATAAACTAATGTAATATATACCCTATCCCGTATAATATAAATATACATTACCCTGTATAATATAAATATATACACATTATCCTGTATAATATAAATATATATACACACACATTATCCTGTGTAATATAAATATATATACATTATCCTATATAATATATATACACATTATCCTGTATAATATATATAAATATATATATATATATATATATATATAATACAGCTGGATAGTCGAGCAGTTAGAGACGCAGACTACCCAATTAGAAACCTGGAACCCCCGACAAATACCGAAGCTGACTTGTGAAGTACCTTCAGAAAATCTGCTAGTGGATGTGAATACTGCACTAACAACAATCCCTACGGGAACCATCACTGAGACCAATAAGCTGATACACAGTACAGCAACAGTAATCCTAGAAATGCTTGGATACAAGATGGGCTCAAACCATAACAGGCAGCATCCACCATGGAGAATACGACTAGAGGCCAAGATAAGGGCAACACGGAGAGAAGTTAGCCAGCTAGCAGAGCTACAGAAAGGCAACATAGTGAATAAAGGGGCACCCAGGAAATACACCAAGCTCTCCATACCTGAAGCACTTGAAACTGCCAAACAGAGACTAACAGCACTGGCCACCTGGTTGAAGAGATACACCAAGGAGGCAGAGGCCAGGAGAATAAACAAGTTTTTCTCCACTGAACCAGCCAAGGTGTACTCTCAGTGGCAGGGAGGAAATAACAACAGGCCCAGACCCACCAAGAGCTGAGGTGGAAGAATACTGGAAGGCCATATGGGAAAAAGAGGCATCACACAACCCAGATGCCCAATGGCTAGTGGACCTAAGAGCAGACCACAGCAACCTCCCAGAACAAGAACCAGTAACCATCTCAATGGCAGACTTTCAAGAAAGAGTGTCAAAGATGAAGAGCTGGACAGCACCAGGCCCCGATATGATCCATGCCTACTGGCTGAAGAAGCTAACAGCACTCCATGAACGCCTAGCAGCACAGATGAACCAGCTGCTAAGGGATGGGTCCCACCCAGAGTGGCTAACCCAGGGCAGGACGGTCCTAATCCTGAAGGACCCTAAGAAGGGACCCATCCCATCCAACTACCGGCCAATAACCTGTCTTTCCACAACATGGAAGGCCCTGTCAGGCATCATCGCGGCTAAGATGAGTAAGCACGTAGCTCAATACATGAGCGGGGCTCAGAAGGGAATTGGTAGCAACATCAGAGGAGCCAAGCACCAGCTACTGGTCGATAGAGCAGTCGCCCGAGACTGTAAGAGCAGGAAGACCAACCTGTGCACCGCCTGGATCGACTACAAGAAAGCTTACGACTCAATCCCCCACACGTGGATACTGGAATGTCTGAAACTGTATAAGATCAACAGGAACCTAAGGGCCTTCATCCAGAACTCGATGGGAATGTGGAAGACAACCCTAGAAGCCGACTCAAAGCCAATTGCCCAAGTCAACATCAAATGCGGCATATACCAAGGAGATGCGCTATCACCACTGCTGTTCTGCATAGGCCTGAACCCCCTCAGTCAGATCATCACAAAGAGTTGTTACAGGTACCAATTCCTAAGTGGAGCAACAATTAGCCACCTGCTCTACATGGATGACATCAAGCTGTACGCCAGGAATGAGCGAGAAATCGACTCACTGATCCACACCACCAGGATCTACAGCAACGACATAGGGATGTCATTCCGATTGGACAAGTGCAGCCGGATGGTCTCAAAGAGAGGCAAGATGATCAGAACTGAAGGGGTTGACCTACCAGAGGGCAACATAGGTGATATCCAAGACAGCTACAAGTACCTTGGTATCCCACAGGCTAATGGAAACCATGAGGAAGCCGCAAGGAAGTCAACCACAACCAAATACCTCCAGAGAGTAAGGCAGGTCCTGAAAAGTCAGCTGAATGGCAGGAACAAGATCCAAGCCATCAACATGTACACACTACCAGTCATCAGAAACCCTGCTGGGAATATAAGCTGGCCAAAGGAGGAGATAGAAGCCATAGATAGCAAGACAAGAAAGCTCCTCACCATGCACGGAGGGTTTCACCCCAAATCCAGCACCCTGAGACTGTATGCTAAGCGGAAAGAGGGAGGCCGAGGACTAGTGAGCATCGAGGCCACTATCCAGGATGAAACATCAAAAATCCAAGAGTACATCAAAAAAATGGCCACAAAGGATGAACTGCTAAGTGAATGTCTCAGGCAACAGAAACCCGATAAGAGTGCAGAAGAAGAAGAGGAGCAGACAACCTGGAGGGACAAGCCCCTACATGGCATGTACCACCGCCAAATTGAAGAAGTGGCTGATATCGAGAAGACCTACCAATGGCTGGAAAAGGCTGGACAGAGGCACTGATCATGGCAGCACAAGAACAGGCCCTAGGTACAAGAGCCATAGAGGCCAAGATCTACAAGAGTAGATCTGACCCAAGGTGCAGAGTATGCAAAGATGCCCCTGAGACAGTCCAGCACATAGTAGCAGGGTGTAAGATGCTAGCCGGTTCAGCGTACATGGAGAGACACAACCAAGTGGCTGGAATAGTGTACAGGAACATCTGTACCCAGTATGGAATAGAAGTACCCAAATCCCAATGGGCCGCACCACAGAAGGTGGCTGAGAACAACAGGGCCAAGGTGCTATGGGACTTCAGCTTCCAGACTGACAAACAGGTCCTGGCCAACCAACCGGACATAGTGGTGGTAGACAAGGAGCAGAAGAAAGCGGTGGTGATAGATGTGGCCATACCAGCAGACGCCAACATCAGAAAGAAGGAACACGAAAAGGTTGAAAAGTACCAAGGGTTGAAAGAACAGCTGGAGCAGATGTGGAAGATCAAGGCGAGCGTGATCCCCATGGTAGTAGGAGCACTCGGGGCAGTGACCCCCAAACTGGGGGAGTGGCTCCAACAGATCCCAGGAACAACATCAGAACCCTCAGTCCAGAAGAGCGCAG